CAACCAAAATTGTGAATTTTATGTCCCCAGGGTCAAGGGTTCTGGTGTTGGGGAGGGGGTGCTCTATTGATTATATAGTGAAAATACATGAATTCTTTGAAAATCTTTTTTTAAGTAAACTAACTAAGTGCATAGTTATGATGAATAAAAGTGCCTCAACCAAAATTGTGAATTTTATGGCCCCAGGGTTCTGGTGTTAGGGCTGGGCTCTAAAGATTATATACTATTAGTAAAAAATACATAAATCTTTGAAAATCTTCTTCTCTGCTCGTAGGTATTAAATAAACTAACTAAGTGCATAGTTATGATGAGCAAGGGTGCTTTTACCAAAATTGTGAATTTTATGGTCCCAGGGTCAAGAGTTCTGGTGTTAGGGCGGGGCTCTATTGATTATATAGTAAAAATACATGAATTCTTTGAAAATTTTCTCCTTTGCTCCTAGGTATTAAATTAACTAAGTACATAGTTATGATGAGCAAGAATGTCTCTTTTAAATTATGAATTTTATGGCCCTAGGGTCAGGGGTTCTGGTGTTAGGGGGCAGGGCTCAATTGATTATATAATGAAAATACATTGTATCTTTGAATTTTTTTTCTTTGTCTCTGGTTATAAAGCAGATGAACTACCTTTATAGTTATGATTAGCAAGGGCCCTAATCTTGCAGACTTGTGAATTTCAAGGCCCCAGGGTCAGGGGTGGGTTGGGGGCTCTACTTATAAACTGAAAATGAATTTATTGTTCGAAATGTGCTCTTTTGTATTTATAAAACATTTATTTATTTTTTGATATTAAGGGTGCATTTTTAAAATTTGTGCAATGTGTGGACCTAGGGTCAGGGATTTTTGTCACAGTGTTAGGGGCACTACTGATTAGTTCGAATGCATTTTTGTTCCCCTACCCTGTGTATGGGTATTCAGTAACCAAGCTAAGCAACTGCTAAGTGTATTGTTATGATGATCAATGGTGCCTCTTTCAAAATTTTTAATGTCATATAGCATCTGGCTTAAAACATGAATCAAATTCAATAACTGGAAAGTTGTTGCATAATGCTCAGGTGACCTATAAGGCCCATGGGCCTCTTGTTAAATACTAGTATTGATTGATTACACAACTTTCCTTTTCATGTTTAATTTGAGAACATTATTGCCTGAAGGGTATATGATAAAAACACCTTATATGTCCTTATCTAGATATTGTGCCTTATATTGTGCAAGACTTCTTTCAAATGATTCTCATATACCATTTACTTTATTCGAACATTTACTTGTTTGAAAAGTCAATAAAATATATTTCATAAAGCTTGAAAATCTTGTTTACTCGCCAGTCTTCCCGTAGAAGTAGTAGTTTATAATATTACTAAAGGAAGTATTCAGTATCTGTATCAAAATACAGAATGATCAATGATCGATTTTAGAAGAAAAGCCGACTCCTGAAAGTTCAAGAGGTGGGATCCGTTGCCTAGAAAAAGTAAGCATCCCTCGTTGTCAGGTTAATTATATTGCCGCGATGAGCCTACACAACTGAATTCATCTGATATCAATTCATTTACAAAGTCTCTCCTCAGCCATCCTTTTTTCTCTGACTAGCCAGCTGTAGATCTACACTACTCCAAATCCATTAATCTAAAGAATTTAACTTGTCATTTTTTAGTTTGTTATAGTAGGCTTTACAATTACTTAATTTCAGATTCAATAGAGAATAAAAGACAATGAAATTTTCAACCATCAACATAATTTTTTTTTATCCAGAGAACAATTGGATGCCATCAAGAGAGAATTTTTAAAAATGCACTTCCTGTCTTTCAAACTGAAGAAATCTCATGTTTAATTTTTGAAACATGCATTTCAATCTTATTCAAATTTATTTAAATGTTCCAAATCCGCTACCGCTTCTGAAACATCTAACATCCCATTCGAGGTCACATCAGAGCGACCTTTCAATTATGAATACATGTACAAGTAAACACAAACACTTTGGCCATGTAGATTCAAGCCTCGGTAAACATTTCTCAAATTAATTCCACGGCTACATATCATCATTATTGATACTGTCTTACGTTGAATTAAAGTAATTTTGGAATAAATTTCATGTATCTTCTGCAGTCTGGCATCTAAACGTGAATAATGCAAACGAAAAAGCACAAACTATACAAGATACCCCACACGTCATACATAACACAACTTTTGCAATGCATATCTTTTTACTACAAAACTCCTCGGGTGTTTTGGTTGGGTGGTGAAAACAAGAAACCCATCTGAACTATTAGCCAGGATTTCGGAGGAACCATTTTCTTTGCCTAATCGAAGATTCACTTTTACATGACCCCAAATAGGATGTTGTTAGATGTTTGAGAAGCAGTAGCGGATTCGGAACATCTAATTTTAATTAGATTGCATCCATCTGTGACATCAGTTTGGAATGAAGGATATGGAAATAACGAACAGTATTCAATCTCAACGTCCATTAAACAAATATACAAAATAGGAGCAGAGCAAACACGGACCACCGAAACATCAGAGGTGGGATCAGGTGCCATGGAGGAGTGAGCATCCCCTGCCGACCGGTCACACCCGCCGTGTGCTCGTTGTCATAATCAGGAAATAACGGAAAAAATCCGTCGTCAATTCAGTGTATAAATAATGGACTAACAATTGGTAAGAAATTGTTCATACGTAGAGCATGCTCTTGCGTATCGAATCAACTGAGATATAAATACTCCGTATGCAGGTGATGAAGGTATATTGCTGCATAAGTAAGGGAAGTTGACGATAGAAAAGTTAAAGTCATCACGTTTATCATATAGCTTGGTTGTTAGATTACCATTAGTGTCTTTTTCAAGTAAAATATCCAAGTATGAAGCAGAAGTGTCGGACTCTGTGGTATCTTTTATCTCAAGCTACCTAGGATATATCCTGTCGACGTAGGAATGGAAATTATCATTATTAATTGACAATACGTCGTCGATATATCTAAATGTCGAGTTGAAGGCCACAGCAAGTGTTTTCTTCTTTTCACGTAAAAGATTTTGCATAAATTCTGCTTCATATGAATATAAAAATAAGTCTGCTAATAACGGAGCGCAATTTGTTCCCATGGGAATTCCAATAGATTGTTGGAATACCTGGTCTCCAAAAACCACATAGATATTGTCAATCAGAAACTCAAGCATCTTCTTGATGTCATGTTATTGGTTTTTCTATTGAGTAAAGTATTACAAAAACAGAATGTCTGGGTTTTTCTTCTCTGATGACATTGGACAACGATATGCATACTTAAATATCATCATTTTATGCACTTTTTCGGTACATATTAGATGAAAGCATGCTAACCGCTTTTCAGTACTTTCAGTACTTTGATTTAAATATTTCATCCCGTCAGAAACAAGAAAAGAATCTATCTTAAGTTAAACGATTGTCGATTATGAGGTCATACAAATTTACTTGCACTTTAGGTCTGTTTGGCAGGTTTGACCTCCTCGGATCAAAAAAAAATTGTATATTCCTGCTAAATTTTGTACCGTGTTGTTTTTTTTATCTATATTGGGCATGACGTTCCACGTTTGGATTCACGTGCAGTGATCAACTGTCCCGAAACCTTTCTCACAAATCCGTTCTTGCACTCTAGCATTGCGCAGTCCTGCAAACGTAGTACACAAGGTAAACAAATATATCATGCACTTAACAATGCAGAAAACAGTACTAGAATACATTGTTTATGCGCTATACTCCCTGTAAACTTATCTTCTTTAGTTTTCCAGCATATTCATAGTCGTATTTATAACTTTGCAGTCAGTATTTTCCCCTTTTCATCTCCCATTCGATCATTTAAAAAATATCCACTAATTAATTCAAAAGAATGAATGATTGTCATTGCACTATTCCTCTATCGCTCTTTATTTAAAATTGAGCAAAAACATTTTCAAAGATTGTCAGGTAAATAATCGCTAATTAATTTCCGCCTTTAACCCGACATACATACAGTTGGGGCTTCATCCTCTCACCAACCATATGACTGGATTGTGCAGGAAACAACGAAGTAGACCTTCACTAAACAGTATAAGGACCTGGATTTTGTATATGACATCGAACTGCTCTCCAAAAAACAATAATGTAAGAAATTATTTAGAAATTATTATGCTTAATTCTAGTATTACACGTTCAAAAGACTGGCCTTAAAATAAACAGCAAGAAGACAGAAGTAATAAGAATTAAAAACCAACAGTATATCAATCCAGTTGGATGGAAAGATCATCAAAGAAACTGACAAAATTATCTCCTTTGGAAAATCGTCAGCAAAGACGGAGCACAGATGACGGTGTCAAAACCCGAATTCACAAGGCAAGACAAATTTGGAATTCAAAAGCACTCTTCCATCAACAGCAAAATTAGGATTTTCAATAAAAATGTTAAAGCAGTTCTTTTGTATGGTTTCAAGACCTGAAAAGTAGACAAAACCATGAATAAAATTCTCCTGTCTTCATAAATAAATGTCTTTGCCATATCCTTAACATTAGATGGCACAATACCATAACAAGCAGCAGTCTATGGGAGTGAATCAACCAAAGTCCCATCTACTTTCGACACAAAGAAGAGAAAATCGGAATGGATAGGTCACACACGTAAATCTCCTGATACATGTAACATCACCAAACAGGTTCTTAATTGTAACCAACAAAGAAAATGATGATCGGAAGACCCCAAATCTGCAAATCTGGACAATATGTGTAAAAACAGAGGCAAAAGAGGCAGATTTTACCTGCCCTAAAGAGTTTGATGGTGCAGTTTGTTTTGACCTTATGCTTTTCAAGGAGCGAAAAGGCATATATTGATGACAGTTTATTGACTGTGAAACTATCTTTTGCTCTTTCTTTTTTAAAAAAATAGCATGCCACAAACAAACAAAAAAAAACCTTAAAATAACGAAGATCAAAGTTTGAACTTCACATCTTATGTTGAAGTTTTCTTCAAACGTTTATCAAGAAAAACAAAATAAAATACATATACTGAATTAACTTGTATTGTATTCTAAATAATATATAAAAGCATTGCTGAAGCATGGAAGCTCATGATCACTGCTGATTTTTCTAATTGGAGATCTGAAGGGATTCAATATGGGAGCTGAGATGCTGATCCCTGAGTGATCCTGCAGCATCATCTTGGATAATTCAATACTTGATCTGCAGTAGTCTGTAAAATATGTTGGAGTCTTCATATCCTACAGAGAAATATCAAAATCATTTTGTTAATACTTAAAATATACCATTATATTTGAAAATATAAGTAAGTTTTGCACTTTTCTTTATCAAAGTCTTGTTTAAAACTTCTTCCGTTAGCCTACCAATGGTTTTCATTTCTGATTTTAAAAAAAACTATTAAGAATCTGTTTTCTCTTGGACATGTAAGGAAAGTCAATCAGTCTGGATATACAAAGAGCACCAAATCACATCAAAAATTTAAAAAAAAACATAGGTAATCAAAGATTACGAAGCTCACCTCGACGAATGTTAACAGCTTAGGTTATGCAAATCTCACATCATATTTTGTTAACAGTAAGTATTTATTCTGACAACAATATTCAAGCAGGTTCTGTTTAAATAGGTCATAAAGTTCACTGGGGATAGACCTGTTTCAAAAACTTGAACTTCGACAATCATTTGGAAAATGTAGGTCAGATCCAACAAGTTTCGATTGTCCATTCTAAGATGCATCATCCATGCAAGTTTGATCCAGGTAGGATTTATAGTTACTTCGAAATAACCTAGTCACTAATCTGGAAAATGAAGGTCAGATCCAGCATCTGAAGCAAGTCTGGTAGTGCCCATTCCTAGATGCATCATCCATGCAAGTTTGGTCCGGGTAGGGCTTATAGTTACTTGGGAATGGACCTGCTCCAAAAACTATAACCAGGACACCGACGCCGAGGGTATAGCATAAGCTCATCTCAACTTCATCAAGGTGAGCTAAAAACTAACTACTTAAAAATGAGCACTACAAATTACTGTATACAGAGTTTCACATTTCCAAACAAAATGACACGAACATTCCTTACTGACAGGAAGACTCATTTCATACCAAAATAAAATGAAGGCAATTTTTTTTTCTTCAGAACCAAGTGTTTGCTGTTGGAACATTAATGGTGTATTATTTAATATCCTCTATGAGAAAAAAATTAAAATTTGTTACAAACCTTTAATTTGGTGATGGTTGGAATCCAGGAAGGATATGCAGCCAAGCCAGCATTGAAGCCTGTCAAATAAATATATGTTACTCTACAAAACTGTAGGGATGTTCAGTTACAAGATGACTTTTGCATCATTAAGTATTACAGAAGTGATATTCTTTGACTTTGTTTATTCCAACAAACATTTTTTTTTTCTTCATTTTTTACAATGAAAAAGGATCATTTACCAATAACAACAGTAGGTATTCTTTCTTGTGAGACATGTTTATGATAAAACTGATTGTGAACTGTAATTGTGACATTGGAGAAAGTCCAGGATTTCTCTTTAACTTTATGGTGTAAATGTTTCCCAAACATATGTATGCTGATGACAAGGTCACTGAGCAGATATCCCAGCTCCTTAAATATAAAAAAAATATTTCTAGCTACACTTTATTTGAATGGTGTAGACAATCTTTATATTGTAATTAGTTAAAACACTGTTGTTTGACCTTTCTATTAGTAGTTCTATACAATACTAAGTCACATGGGAAAACATTAAATTTAAGAATTTGTATTTTTTGTATGAATCAAATAAATTTTACAAAGAGAACTTCAATACAATGTAGCTTTATGTCACTAACAATTCATTTTGCTTTTCTTACTATCATTTCATTTCAACACAAGTTATTTTCATTGTAGGTTTCATAAATCTGTAGAAATAGAACTGTTACTTTGAACACTGGAATAAGTTCCACCTCCTTCTCTACTCCAACAATATCAATGTAGATCTGGCCATCAGATGGATGTCTGACATTGTCAACTATGAAATTACATCAAAATAGATAATTTATTAATTCATTATATGATTTTTAATATACAAGTTACTTCTTGCTTTGTTATAATAAATAACATTTGCAGCCCAATAGATAAGTTATAAATTCACTGTGATTTCTTTTTTCTATTAGGTCTATTTAATAATTTGTGATAATACGATATCATAGAAAATGATGATTTATAAATTCACAGTGATTTTTTTTTTCTGTTTGGTCTACCGGTAATTCATCATTATGTCTAGTACTTACAATTCAGCAGGTATTTAATGATGTAGAACACAGTGAGGGGCCACTGTAGGAGGACAGCAATTGGGGAGGACAGATCTAATCCCCTACATCTGTAATAACTACTCCAGTCCACTACAGCTGACTGAGAATCCACACAGACCTGACCATCCAGCATACAGGATTCCACAGGAAGGATATAGGGGTTATCTAAATCCATATATCTACCTATAAACATCATAGTTTACAGATGATCTAAATCCTAAATCCATATATCTACCTATAAACATCATAGTTTACAGATGATCTAAATCCATATATATATATATATTGTATTTACATGTAGATATTAGAGTTTACAGATGGTCTAAATCCATATATCTAACTGTTAACATCCAAGTTTACAGATGATCTAAATCCATATATCTACCAGTAAACATCAGAGTTTACAGATGATCCAAATCCATATATCTACCTGTTAACATCAGAGTTTACAGATTACCTTAATCCATATATCTACCTGTAAACTTCAGAATTTACAGATTATCATAATCTATATACGGGGGCCGTTCAAAAATTATGCGGACTGTGCTATTATTTACTCTTACAGATGTCATATAGTTATGAAATTTCACAGAAATATGTATCTTAAAGATTCTAATAAATTTTGGGCAAAATTTCTGTATTTTAAAAAAATTCTACTAAAATTATCGGTATGTTGATATCGCTGATGGAGAGGTACGGAGCACGACAAAAAATTTGAAGCAAAAGCATGCGGAATCCAAAATTTAACTCATTAAATTTCTATAATTTGCGATATTTTTCGGCAATTTTCTCAAATATATCTTTAAATTGTTCTATTATTATGCATTTAGATTTCTGACGTGATATTTGAAGTACTAACAGAAATATTGTGATTTTTCTTGGATGCGATTCCCGTAAAAACGACTGTGAAAATGACGTCTCCAGAATTGACGGCGCACCACACTTTTGTTAAATTATGTGTAATGCTCGAGATATCACCAACATAGATCCAAAATATGCATAATAAGACATGTAGTAAACTAGGGTATTCATGACATTCGCCACAAAAAGCAAATTGAAATTATATAAATATATATATATATATATATATATATATATATATATATATATACGAAAACTTTATCCGGACTGTAAACAACGTGATTGAGAGTCACCAATATCACACTATATCTCATAAATACCTGCAGTTTTGATTTTAAAACAAAAAAGGAATATTCTTTACTTGTTTAATAGATTTTAACTTGACAAGAAATGGTGTTTGGATGTTGAGTAGATAAGGTAAATCAACCTGTACAGGTACTCTTGGGAAAATGTTGAGAAAATGAAAGCTCAATAACATATTTTTTATAATGCCTGTGACACTGAAGATTTTGCTGCTCCATGACTTAATGATATGTTCTGAAAAATCACTCAAAATTGATACCAATTTTCAACATTTTGATATAAAATTTTGAAGACCATATAAGTAAAGATTCTTTTATATTATGTGCGACATTTTGCCCGATTATGTCGTCAAATATTTTTTCTGTGCAACAAGTCCACTTAATTTTTGAACGGCCCTCGTAAATACCTGAAAACATCAGAGTTTACAGATTATCTAAATCCATATATTTACCTGTAAACATCAGAGTTTACAGATTATCTAAATCCATATATCGACATCTACCTGTAAGCATCAGAGTTTACAGATTATCTAAATCCATGATCAACCTGTAAACATCAGAGTTGACAGATTATCTTAATCTATATAAGTACCTTAAAACATCAGAGTTTACTATAATCTAAATCCATATATCTACTTGTAAACATCAGAGTTTACAGATTATCTAAATCCATATAACTGCCTGTAAAAATCAGAGTTTACAGATTATTTAAATCCATATACATGTATCTCAGACCTGCCAACCAAAATTGATGCTGTGGGTATTCATGACATTCGCAACATTCAGAAATGAAATGTTGGGTCATAGACCTCTGTAAAAAGGCATTTTTCGAGGGTTGAGTAACAATATAGTCCCCAAATTTTTAGACATCGATGTAAACACACACATGTATTCATTACATTTTATTTCAGGCTTAAATTATAATCTTTACATGCCAGTTTTGCTGCTTTAAGCACACTTTCAGATGGAAAGTATTCATAACAGTCATGGTCTTTGTTCTGTTTTGTATATAGCAATGAGCAAACTGTGTCATTTTTGAGTTCAGATCTGCATTCTGTGACAATTTTTCTCATTATGGAGAACATTCTCTCAGAATCTGCATTAGAGATGGGGATTACAATACACATTAAAGCAAGTTTGCTCAAACAAGGAAATCTATCATCTGCCATAAGTTGATAGTCCATGAACTCATCTGTAAGCTGTTGATACTCTTCTTCTTTTAGGACATTAAACCTCTTGCATAGGTGAACAACTGAAATGTAGTAAAATAATTTTCATTGGAATTCTTTTTCCCATGTACTTTGGTATTTACAACTGTATTTTTTACGTTTAGTAGGAGTCAGTGTACATGGCCCAGACATCGATCGTTTCCTTACAGAAGACATTTTCAAACTGATTGTGAACTCTTTATCAAAATAATTACCTGTTTTCTGATGATCACAGCTCATACATCGTTAAAAAAACATAGCCGCTGGCATTATTCATGGTCTTGTTTACACTTCCGTTTCCATTATCAAAGGCGCCGTCTGATGTCGAAAATTTAAAATAAATTAGAGTTATCTCTCTTCAGGATTATTTACCGAAAATTGGGTTAAAAAATGGGGACAATCGATTTTGCGGGTAAATCCATATACCCGCCGCGGGTCATTAAAATCAGAGTTTACAGGTGTGACCCACCGAATGCGGGTCACTTGGCAGGTCTGGTATCTACCTGTAAAAACCAAATACAGTTTCAAATTTGGGGTGATTATACTTTATCAAATAAAATACAAGTTACCATGAAATGACTAATTTTTTTTTGGGGGGGGGGGGGGGTATTTTCGTTGTTTTCGAGGTATGGAGAGACCCACGAATTTATGACTACCACGAAATGTTTAAAATCATATATGCATTACTACTATATATTTTCCAACTATACGAATTCAAATCCCCACAAACCAATATTTTTTCCTCAAACCTTGAAAATTTGACTCCATGAAAATATGTGATTTTACAGTAATTGTAAACTGATTAATTTGAATGTAATTGTTGATATTTCTCAGATCTTATTTATCTTTTCAAATAAAAAATAATCAAAGAATATTTTTTTGAAAATTTCATGTACATTATTTACCATAACGGTGTTTTTGTACTTCCTCAGCTGGATTAAATCCCTCTCTTCTCCAGCATCCTTCTCCAAATACTCCATTATTCTGAAGGAATTCACTGTATTGCATCTCATCAAAATCAGGAGAACAAGTTTCTTTTTAAAACAGAAGTGAAAGAAAATTGTTAGTTTCACATTTTTTATATTTCTTTTGAACGTACATGCATGTATACAAAATCTATTGATGTAATGTAATTGATAATTCTTCTTTTCGCAATTCATGTCTCATTATGAAGAATTCTATAAAAGAAACCATGTTTATGTACTTGACTAAAATGATAATATGTACAAACATGTATAACGGAGGAGAGACAACTCCTATGCCATTCTTTTAAATAACAAATTCTGATAAATTACCTTTAGAAAATTCAAAAGGAAATTCTGTGATCTCTGTGTCTTTCATGTAGGATTTGAACTTTGAACACCAAAAGCTGTGAGACTGTGAGGAGTTTCCTTGTAAATCCTGACTTTGACACTCAGCAGAACAGTATAATACAGCCTGGCACATTGGGCTTGAATGAAGATTACAATTTTTAAAACATTGTTATTCTTTAAACTGCTTTCTTACTTATTTCTATTAATTTCATTTACACTTGTAAAGTTTTTTAAAGCATTTTAATAACGGGTAATCATATTGTAATACATTGAAGATTTAGGTATCTTAACAGTGATTGGGAAGTAACAGTCCTTTATTCTTATTTATTTTAACTTTGATATTTAAAAAAGTTCAATATAATGAGATTTGACAGTGTAAACCAATTAACTCTAAGCTTAAATCAAAAATCTGATCATAACTTTTATTTTACTAAAGTATTGTATGGAATTCATGTGTTGTACTTGCTATAGCCTTATAAAAAAGCATTTTTCTACAATCAAATGTGATAATCAAATAGAAATCTCATTAGTAAAATTAGAAACTAGATCATTTATTTTACATTAACAATCCCAGATTTTTGCTGCAATACCATTTTCAGTCTACAACTTCATTAAAATTTTGATGTATAATAGTGATGTACTGATCCAGACTTATTTTCATCGTATTTAAAATTCAGTTTGTGTGACAATTTAATTGTATAATATACAGTACAAATGTGGAATCAATCTCCTGTGATCATAAACATGTAAAATAAATGTTAATTATAGAAGTTCCTGTGTCTCAAAACTTGGAAGGCATCGGGTAAGTTAACTATTCAGAATATTTATGAAAAGTAGGTCAAAGATAAGGTAAAGTGGACTGTAACATTGGTATTAAACTTTTTTTCATAAAACCTTGTGAGGAACATTGCACATGATAAATTAAGTGTAATTTAGTATTTTACAAAAGCATGCAGTCATATGCAAAAATACAAAATTTTTCCAGTTCTGTAACATGACACACAGACACCATGATCAATAACACGATCTGTAAACAGTACTCTGCTCTGCAAGCAATACAAAAAGAACACAAAAACTTACCAGAAAAATAAAAGTTGTTGTTCAGCTCGTATGTGACAAAAATGACATGTCCTCCATTTTATGCCCTCTAAGGAAACTGTATTAGTGGAGCCGACTAAGTTAACACCTAGGTGGTGAAATTTCTGTTCTAAATAAGGGCTTTTTGTGAATCTGCAAAGAAATTTAATTCAGTTAAATCAAAATATATGATTAAATAAATGTACAACATACCATTAGTTTTAAAATTCAAGAAAGCAAGAACTGAAAACTGTTTGACCTTTATACAGTGTATAACATTTTACTTTTTCATCATGTTTCATAAATTCTTCGTAAGTATAATTGCATATAAGATAAATTAATTTATTTGATTATTACAATCATTAAAGTAAATTCAGTTGTAAAACTTGATTTATATGATTACAATCATTAAAGTAAGTCCAGTTGAATTATTTTGGTACACTTTAAACCTACTTCAGTAATGTTGCATTCCTGAGCACTGCATGCCTTGGTCGGCGTACTGGTGTTTTACATGGGAATAAACAGGCTTTCAGAAAGCACTGAATAATGTCTGATGGTAAATTTTTTGTGACATTCTGTTGATACTTTCCAATGAGTTTACAATGCTTATCAATAACTTGAAGATAATCATTCCCATCTGAAAAATTAAAAAAAAAAAACAATGAAAAACCCGTCAAACCTACATGTATCTTAGCAATGAGAAAGAAAAAGACTAACGTCTTAATCTTATCTAGTGTTGTCTATACTCAACCTTAACATTGATCATGCGACTGTTTAATCAGAGATCACAAATTTTGAATGGAAAAATATAATCAAAATTTAATGTACATTTTTAATTGACAAGTGACAGCTGAAAACTGTTAACGACTGCCTTTATCACGTGCATTAATCATTTGATATAACAAAAGCTGTATTATGGATGTACATCAGCAAGTGAGCAGAAAATGGAAATGAATGAATACATGCATTGCGAATACATAGTTATTAGTTAGTAATACTTATCTTCAAAGTATCTTTCTATAAACCACACCGTGTCTTCAATCGGAATGTTTTTAACGGTTTCTTCGTCCAAGTCTTCCATAAGTTAAAATGAAAGTGAAACTGAAAGACTCCAATCAACTTGGAAAGATTTCCGAACCCGATTCAGAGTGATGCATTTTTTTTTAATTTCAGCACTTCTTTACATTTACAATAAGCGTACGTTGACAGACATAAACATACGATACACATAGGGACCCTGATCAATGTAAATAAATTAATAACATTTTAAATCTTCATCAAATACAGTTAAAAAGTTGTTTTAAAAACTTAAGGATTCCGAGTCTAGCCGACAGGAAATACAACTTTTATAAATCGTAGTTCATCTATATTCACAGACACAAGTTTTGAAATTAGGTTCATTAGTAAAAATTATCTCTTATGAGCCTCATTCTTATCTCAGTATCTCAGTACTTTGTGAAAAAGAAAATCAGTAACAGTTTCATTAATATTTTACCAAAACAAAAGAAATGTAATCAGCAACCACTTAAAATTCTAAATGTAAATTTCCAGCCAATTGAATCTAAGCAACACCTACTTGATAACATGATAAGTAGCACATATCCCGGCATCATCTTTGGAACAGAGACCTGAATCATGCTGAATATACAACACTATAAAAGATTCACAGATTTTACGGTATAGCTATTTTCAGAAATGGTAGGAAAAATTCTTTAACATTTTGTGGTTGATTATGAAATACAACCCAATCTTAAATGGAAGAGGTGTACTTATTATAGTAGAAAGAACTTGATTGCTACAGACATCACAGAACTCCAAACAGTCTGCGAAATCGTCTGGTGTAAACTAGAATTAGTTGGCCACAAACCCATCCAAAGACTTCCAATGAAAAAAGCATCCAACAACTTGCTAAAAGCCTCGAGAGGACATCGAACATAAGGAATTCATTCAGAGTACTAGCAGGAGATTTCAACCTTCCTGCAGGCTAAAACCCAACAGAGTATAGGGCATCACAAAATTGTTGGAGAAGTTAAATCCTCATAAGGCACCGGGACAAGATAACATTACTCGAAGAATTCTTAAAGAAATGGCAAGACATATATCTCCTATCCTCACACTGTTATATTCAGAGAATCATATGATACCGGAGAGGCACCAAACATATGGAAAACTGCATTTGTTTATCCAGTTTACAAGAATTAAAGGTAAAATATTTGAAGCCATAAATTACCGTTCAGTGTCACTGACATGCATAGCCTGCAAACTGATGGAGCATATAGTAGAAGCACCGTGAGTACTTTTGGTCCGCAAAAATAACCGTTTGTTTTGCATTTATATATTTGTTTTTTTACAGGGTCGTTGGTTCTGTTAAATAATGTACATTTGTTTTGCAAAAAGGTCGTTTGATTATGCATTGATTGTCAATTGTTAAGTTTCTATGATCATTGAAATTCAATTTTCATTGTATAGTAGTTTTTGTCCTTTTCACTACCCATCAGCAAGCTTACTCCTGGCGACTTAACTCTGGTTGACGAGGAGAAATAATTTCATTATTTTACAATTCATCGCCTTTTTTAACCACAATGCCACCAGTAGCAACTGAAGTCTAGTACTAGTAATTGGTTCATAGGAATAACATGGTAAAATGAATTTACTATACATTGATTTTGATCCATCATGTGGTAGACAACTTTATTTCAAATTAAATATTTAATTCTTAAAGGTTTCGAAAATTAATTAAACTGTTTGTTATACTTCTGTATTATTTATATTCTGTATGAACTCTTTTTAGGTAAAAAATATGGATTGAGATAACAAACAAAAGTCGAGCTCAAAAGTCGATAGAAACAAAGCCGTTAAATCACGAGTAGAGCAAACAAGGACCTCTAAAACATCAGGTGTGGGATCAGGAGCCATGGAGGGGTAAGCATTCCCATCAATCGGTCACAGCCGCGTGTGCTCCTTGTCATGATAGAAAAACGCAAAAAACGTGTGTAAATAACGGTTTAACAATTTTTTACGAAGAAGAACATTCAGTATAAGTTGGATATCACTTACAGAATTAAATTCCAGAACCTCTAATGCAATTGCAGATACTGTAGTGTAGAATTCAAACAATGAGTCTTATAATTTAAACTAAATAGTGCTAAATTACTCTACGTGTTTTTTAAGGACGACAATTTAGTTTGAATTATTTATGATTTACTTATTTATAAAAGAAAAAAATAGGGTTGATTACAGTGAAGGAGAGCAGATCAAAAGCAGATTAAAAACTTCACTATATGTAACAATACCCATTAGATTTTGTTGTCCAACAACAAATGCTGAATGGAAGTTGTTTTGAAAGCGACAAATGCTCAGTTTTGTAAAGAAACTTCTTAATGTTGTGAATTTCTAAATCGGTCAAATAGTTCCTTTCACTTGAGTACCTGTAGAATGGTATTCCATAAATATAATTATAGCCAATCAAATTTACGGTCTACAAAAACACCGAGTAAGCACGTGTTCGACCGATATATGTATAAAGGTAACGTCAATAAACATGATAAATTCATTATAATGTACAAATTATGTATAAATTGATTGCAATAGGTATTTTACAGAAACAGGGTCTCCCAAACTCTTTCTTCTAACTTTTAAAATCTCTATTTCAATGAAACTTATGTTATATGTCGCAAACAGTGGGGTGTTCTAAAGAATTACGACAAATATTTCTTTCTCGTTTCTGAAGAAATGGGGGCGTTTTATTGTGTAACAATTGACCTTTGATTAAAAATAAAAACACCCAACCTTTCCACTCAACCAAAAAATTTTACCACTTCAATGCACTAATTCATTATTCAAGTAACTAGAGTGTTCCAACTATATATAGTTGTTTATAAAATAATGTCAGGACTTTGTGCTCACATCCTCGCCAGCCAGGGATCCTGAGACGTTGAGCTCAAAGCAAGGATGTTTTGATTTTCCATTAAAACCTTTTGGCTAGGAATTGATGGAGTGCACAACTGCGAAAAACTAAATAAAATTCAATTTTGAAGATGTATTTTCGAGAGTTAATCTTTCATTCTATGACACCCGATGTAATCTTTTAATATATTTTACACATTTAGGGGAAAAAAAAAGAAAATCCATATCGTATTTTATCTAACACCTAATCTTTCAGGGTATTGTGTTTCACACTTAATTGGGTTGGAGCTGTGCAGATAATGACAACCAAAATATTTCTAGTATGAAGGGCATTGACCGAGGTTACGCTCGAATTCGTTCTGTCACCATATAATAAATATCGATTTATAAAATTAGAGTAACCGTACAGAATCAACGGGTGTTAATCCGACGTGCATGTGAAGAAATATTACAGTAGAAGGTAGTTTTAAATAGATCTTTATAGCCACTTACTGAAAAAACAACTAAAGGAACATTTTTTTTACATTAATTATAGAGGAATTAGGGTACAAACATTGTCAAACACAGTTTTGGCATTAACCGAATTGCGAAATCTATGTGAAGGAGTTGGGTAAAACGTGGACCAGTGATAAAATATACCCTATTGTCGAGTATTGAATGGTATGTGTTTTGTTGTCCAGTGTTTTGTATAGCTGTATATTTTGTATATCTATTCATTTTTATTTATATCCATGTCTCATGCATAATATTTTCTTCAGCAACGTACTCAAAATATTTCGGATCTGTTATGATTATAAAGAAAATTAAATAAATGAGGAAATTAAATATATACATATATTTTATTATCAATAAATAACATTCATTGTAGATTTTTTTTAAAAAAGTCAATCGAATTTAAATACTGCTTAATCAATGTTCAATACACTGTAAATATGTTTATTCTTCCAGATGAAATGAGATATGAAGGTGCCGAAACTTGAATTAAACTCCATTTCACTTAGAGTAAACATAGGCCTTAATCTCAACGTTAAAAGACAATCGGGAGACTTTTACGTCTATGTAGTTACTTTCTCTTGTGGAATACTATAAAGGATCGGTCTTCAAGTCTGACACTGGAAATACAAGGATGAGCTGTAACTTGGATTCAGTAAAACGCAAAGGCAGGAAAAGAGAAAAGTACAGTACTATGCATGAACCACTGGAATTCCCATCTTGTCGTATTTGTGGAAAGAGATCCACAGGAATCCATTTTGGTGTTTACAGCTGTGAAGCATGCAAGGTAATCGTTCAGGTTTTATTTTAGGCCGAGTAGAATTGGTCGAATTTTCTTGAAATATTTACACAGTCATGAATATGATTTGCTCTTTCCTTTTGAACATATGTAATGAATAGAATCAGGGGATGTCGAGACTCTACTTTAAAAATTGCTTCTAAAGTTGCTGCTAAAACTTAAACATGTCGTTTTGTAAGTCCATACAGCATTGTCAAGTTACAAGTGCATATAATTTCTTAAAACAGCAGTTTTCTTTTTTTGGCTATGTTTTTTCTCTGTGTTAGACATTCTTTCGGAGGAGTCTTCTGAGAAGAACCCCATACCATTGTGACAAGGGAGGAACGTGCCTCATTCAGGCAGAACAGCGGAGGGGTGCCACGTGTCCTGCGTGTCGTCTAGATAAATGCAAAAAATCGGGAATGTCTAAAGAAGGTAAAAATAACATTCAGGATTAAACGTTTTATTTTTGCGGGTTTTTTTTTAATTCTAAAAATGTGCTATGCATATTTATATGGTAGGCGTACGGCAAGGGCGTTACACAGTAACAGAAAGAACAAATGTAATACTAGAGGTTCAGAAACTTCGCAATCAGACTGATCAAAACATGAGAGGTGAAGGTTTATTTGACGAAAACCCACCAAACCACGAAGACCGGGTCTACTGTGATCACTCTTCCTATCAGTGTACCCTTCAAGATGAGGAGAAGTCAGCAGAGAAAATAGAGAGCTCAGATAATCAGGCATCGTTATCCCCCGGAAGTAGCTCAAGGTCACCTGTCCAAAATGACTCTATGAAAGATCTACATAGTTTAACTATAAATGATCTCTCAGAGGGAGTGGAAAGAACGTCAATTACCCATGAAATTAACAGTGAGCAAGAAGAACCGAAAAATATTTTGGAGAGAGTCATGGTTGGATATAACCTTCTAGAGCCATTTACAAAGTACTTGACCGATCAAGAAATTCAGGATATCCTGCAGGAAGGACTGGTAAGATTCTGAATTTTGTTCATCAGCATTCGGGCATTATTTTAGATAATCTATAAAACCTGAACTAGTAGACAGTGGCCTGTTACTTTAGGTCTAATTTGGTAGTCATGATAAATCGAAACATGTCTCTTTAAATACTCAGTATTTGCTTTACCCCTGCAAATGTTTACACCAATTAGCAGATATTTTTTTTTCCAGTAATGATTGTATCGAGAGAGACCATGATCAGATCTATCAAAATTGTTAAATTTGCTCCCCTTAGTTCTAGGAGTTAGAACCTTGATCGTATCCAACAGCTGCTCAAGTTGACTTTATATCAATAACAACTGAAAAAGTGGGAAGTTCTAGACAAGTGGACTGTTTGCGTATTACATAATGAACAATTTGACATTAGAGTGAAAGAGATCACTCGCAGATAAAACGTCTTTACTTTCTCTGTGTTGTAATAAATCTGGCCTGTACTGAATCCTTCCGACTGAAAATATGATTAAGGTTAAGATAAATTGATGTGGCGATTTTTTTTATTTCCATTTTGGATTTTCAGAATAAATATTTGGAGAAAACAAGACTTTTTGGGAAAATGGAATACATTCCTACAGACCAGTATAATGAAATATATGAAAAAACAAATATAGATGTAGATGGCCGGAAGAAACTGTTCTCTGAAAGTAGAGACGAAATGATGAAAATGGCAAACGACTTCGTCAAGTTCATGAAGAATATTCCGTCTTTCACAGATTTGTGTCTCAAGGATCAGGAGGCCTTACTCAAAGGTGATTAGTTTCCTATTTGCATGGATAGAAAGAATCTGGCACAGTAGATTCACACTTTGTAATAAAGTTGTCTAAAACAATCTTTTCTTAACAAATGTCTTTCTTTAAACTCTATCAAAATAATGCTAGACAATTTATAAAATATAAAGATATTCTTAAAGTGTGAAATCTCCCTGCATAAAATACAAACAGGATACAAATGTACAATTATGCCTTCTACTCATTTCAGCTTCCCACTTTGAATTTTTCACTATTTTGGATAATAGGAATATTGACTTAGAAAAAGAGATGTTAATAACGTACACTGGGAAGGTAATGAAGCTATGCGAAGTGTGTCCATATACTCCTAAAGAAACGTTTCTGCGGTGGGGAGAATTTTCTAGAGAAATCCAAAAGCTTAAATTAAGCCCCGAAGAACATGCTTTAGTTCTTGGAATTTGTGTGACTTTCAGAGGTACGTAAACTATAATGATTTTATATACAATTATATCTCTGTCAGTTGTTCTCATCGACTCCATTTTTATTCCAATTTAATTCCTCCGAAAGGACAGTTATGTGTGGTCTCTTTTTTGCACAAACTGGATTGATAAATAAAAAGAACGACAGTTCTTAGATCATCTGAGCCCAAACCTCCAAAAGTGAATTTTTTGTAATGTTTATTTTGATCATAAAGGGTGTCTGGCGTCCGACTCGGACTGTCGTGTGTCATCTGTATACTTTTTTTTTTATATTTTCGACTTCTTCTCAAGACTCACTGGACAATTTTTCTTCAGGATACATCATAAATGTATATTTTTATACAGTCGTGCTACTAACAACTGCTTCCTTGACCCGGTGTTATTTAGCTGTATTCAGATACCTCATATAGGGTCTTTGTTGAAAAAAGACCGAAACTTTATCTTTAAAAAAAATCTTAATAACCAATAGTTCAAACACTTTTTTAAAGAAATCGTTATTTATTGTTTCTTCAAGTTTCTTCAAGTCGTTACCGCCAATTCAGAGTGTAGTTTGTTGGAACCATAATAGGCGATAAAAGTTTTACATAGGTATATACAGGGAAATCTTAAAACCTCTTCTTCTCTAGAACAACGAAGCTCTAGTATATTTAGCAATATTTATATGGAAGTACCCTGAGGCTGAGTGTAAAGATTCAAGTTTTTTTTAACCATGACTCCAGGAACAGCAGGGTCATTTGTAACTCAGGCTAGCCATATAGCCCATGGGTATCTTATAAGTTATAACTCGAACTTTATTGATATTTACAGATAGATGTAAACTGAACTCTCCGGAGGAAGTTGAAAATATTCAAGAGAGACTTTTGGACACTTTAGAGTTTACAATACAAATGTCCCATCACGAGAACAAAGGACGGCGTTTTGCTAAAATCATGGATCTATTTGTACGTCTACGTGTCATTGGGGATGAATACTTAGAATTGTACAAAGTCATCTGTGAAGACCAATGTTTGAAAGACACTATACCCGAATTTCTTATTTACTTGTGAAGGTAAAAATAATGATATAATTATTTTTCTGCATTATTCTAAGCTCCCTGATTGGCTCAAACTTAATTATATGATCAAGTAAAAAAAACAGCACATGGACTTCTGTTTCTATTTATAGATTCTGAAAAACATATCGACTTGATGTTTCTTAAAAATTAATAAATAATCTTCTGCAATGAAATATATAGAGAAAACGAACAGAATTAAGACTCAAAAGTCCATTTAACAATACAAAATTGAACAAGATCAAACACGGACCAAAATATCATAGGTGGCAGTAGGTGCCATGGAGGAGTGATCATTCCCTGCTGACTTGCTACATTCCCCGTGTGCTTCTCGTCATGATCAGCAAATAACGGAAAAATTCGTCGTCAAGTCAGTGTATAGATATTGGACTAACAATTACATGTAGTATGAAAACCGTCGGTCAGTATTTACTAAGCAAGTAACTCGAAGATGAATTGTAAATTGTACAACATAACAGAAGTGCTGACTTCACAATTCTAAAAGCTTATATGACTTGATGCTTCTGAAAAAACAATTACTTTTCATACTAGTAAGTGTGATGTTCTGTAATAACTAGCTGGGTGAAACAATGAAGAAGAATCTTTATATTAAAGTATACACTGTATATGTTTTTCATGAAACGTGGAGATAACGAACAGTAGTCAAGATCAAAAGTCCATACAACAATACAAAATAGGAGCAGAGCAAACACGGACCTCCAGAACATCAGAGGTAGGATCAGATACCATGGAGTAGTGAGCATCCTCTGCTCACCGGTCACACCCGCCGCGCGTGTGCTCCTTGTCATGATCGGGAAATGACGGGAAAATCCTTAGTCAATGCAGTGCACAAATGATTGACTCGCAATTAATTTAAAAAACGTCTGTCATCACTTGACTCAATGATGAATTGTAATTGCTGACAAGGTCATTGTATCGACCATAAAACTTATGAAACGATGACTTTACACGGGACTGCTGATATTTTTGTTTTATCAGTAATGTTTGTCAATAATTTACCTCGTTTTAGAAATTGTTCATACATAGAACATGCTCTTGCGTATCGAATCAACTGAGATATATAAACTCCGTATGCAGGTGATGAAGGTATATTGCTACGTAAGTAAGGGAAGTTGACGATAGAAAAGTTAAAGTCATCACGTTTATCATATAGCTTGGTTGTTGCATGAACGTCTTTTTTCAAGTAAAATATCCTAATATGAAACAGATGTGTCGGACTCTGTGGTATCTTTTATCTCAAGCTCACCAGGATATTTCGTCGACATAGCAATGGAAATTACCGTTGTTAATTGACAATACGTTGTCGATATATCTAAATGTCGAGTTGAAGGCCACGGCAAGTATTTTCTTCTTTTCAAGCATAAGACTTTGCACAAATTCTGCTTCATATAAATACAAAAAAGAGGTCCGCTATAATTATGGGGTGCAATAATTGATACCAGTGGAAATTCGAATAGATTGTTGGAAGACCTGGTCTCCAAAACCCACATATATATTGCCAATCAGAAATTCGGCATCTTTTTAATGTCATCTTCAGAGTACTTGTTTGTACAGTTTAAAAGTTTAATTAACAATTGGAATGGAGATTCCTGTAAGTGTGGCTCCTGCAGATCTTAATCCTCAAATCTTAATCTTCAGTTTTTGCTCAATTTCTTTTAGTTCCTTTTTATTTATTTATTTGTCTATTTTGGTGTTGTTCTTCTGTTTTAAGTTTATTTTTTTTTTATTTGCTTTAAAAGTGAGTAAATTTAGTAGTCATAAATTCATAGTATTAAAAATATTTTTTTAACTAAACAAATTTGCTATATTTTTATCAAAATATAAAATATTTTTATCAAATTTAAATATATAATTCATAGACTATATTTTTAGAGCATAAGTGCTACTTGGACACTCATTTATATTTATTTTCTGTGTTGTCTTATTTATATGCATGATATATGTGCTTTCTGTGCCGTTTTGTGCGTATATATGTGTTAATATTGCTTGTTGTGATGCATGACAATGTAATTCTAAATGTTTTATATGTGTAGATAGTTATTTATGATATGTAGTACTAATATAATGTCGGTCAAAAGCTCTATAGAGCTTATGTTTCTGTTATAAAAATCCGACTCAAAATAAAATTTTCTGATTCTGACAATCAGACTAATATAACAAACTAGAGCCGAGCTCGTTGCAAAGCAACGAGTAGGTCTTCCGTCCTGTTTGACCGGAAGTAACTTTCATTTTAAAAAAAAGAGTAATGAAATCCAAAAATGGGTTAATCCTCCAAATCTATGTTAAGTATTGCAAAATTAAGCCATTCTTTGGAACTTCCGGTTTGACCGGAAGTGACGACGACGGACGGAAAATTAATATTTAAGCTTCTAGTGACATATGTTACCCCAAAACGGCAAAAATATGCATTTTCTGATATCAACTTCCGGTTCCATGCGCGAAGTGACGTATGCAAGATGATTATGGCATGTTGACGTATTTTGACGACCTCATATAGATAAAGCTTGATATTTTGAACAACTTTGCTTCTTTGATGTATAACAAATTCTCAATACTTTTTGAGATATCTGAAAAAAACTAAATATTTGGCCCTTCTAAGTCCCTTAAATTAGGGGTCAGCCCTTATTAATATTTTTTTCGACATATCATTTGAAAGATCTTATAATTCTGCACAAATTATGTTCTATATATTTTAACAAAATATTTTAAGTTTAGAAGATAAAAAAGGAAAGTATGAGTAATTTTTGGTTCTTTTAAGCGTTCGGAAACTCAAATGAAATATTTCAATTTTTGACCCCTATATAGCGCCATTTTGAATAGAGAAATCGAAAAACAAAAACCGATGTGCACAACTTCAATCCTTCTATTATCTAAAATCAGTAGAATTTCTGCTCCAGCTTTAGCGATTTCAAGTCATAGGTCAAGGTGATTTTGAGCCTTTGTCTGGAAACGAAAGCCTATAAATTTTCCTTTAAAGGGAAATAACTCAAAACCGGAAGTGGCTTTTTGAAATTTTAGACCGCATTCTGATAGAGTTTATTAACGTCTATAACGTCTGAAAATTTGAGCGAAATCCGTTGAGAAATGAGCGAGATATAAGGCCAAAGTTATATTGGTCATTTCAAGTGTTACACGTGCGCGCAAGCAGAAAAAAAAAAAGAATAACTAGACGAGCTTGTTGCAAAGCAACAAATAAGTCTTCCGTCTAATTCTGAAGATGATGAGATCGAGATTGTTAGACATTTACGGTTATGTGTGCAAAAACGAGCCATTTACAAATACTTCCTGGTCTGCACCGGAAGTGACGCCATCTTAACGTTAATAAACTTTAAATGATCTCCGCATCTGCTATTTGTTATTCTGAACAACTTTTCTTCTATGTTGCTTAACAAATTGTCAATACTTTCTGAGATATCAGGAAAATACTTCTGGCCCCTCTAAATCCCTAATTTTAGGGGTCAGCCCTTTTTTTGAGATATCAATTGAAAGGTCGTGTAATTCTACACTTTTTTTGTTCTATATGTTTTAACAAAATATTTCTAGGTAAAAAGTTATCATAGAAAAGGCGTTAATTTTAAAAGTCAATGATAGAAAAATTACTTTTAATTTCGGATTTTTTTTTCCCATAGCTAGCGCCGGCGCGTCGTACTTCCGGTAGTTGTGATATACAAAAGGCACTTCTCCAAAGTTTGCTCTAGCATCACTGAAAATATGCTTCTGTGTTAAGTGCTTTTTGAGAAAACTGCCGGACAAAGTGACCCTCTAAAAATCACTAAATCGTCATAACAGAAAACAGTTGAGAAATGACTTGAGGTTTCCAGATCAGTGTTGTTCATATGAATTAAAAGTAGTGAAAGACAAAGAAATGATGCCGGAAGTGACGTATATCAAAATAAAAAAAATTATTTCTAGATTTTTTGATGTTCTATCAGACCTGAAAGTTTCATGAAAATCATGTATTTGAATGAAAAGTTTTTTTTTAATAACCCGTTCTTTGTTAGAATTCGCGCGCACAAAATCGGTAAGAAAAAAAAACAATAATAATAAAAATAGTGGACAAGAAACCTAAGAATAACAGTAATCTTTACCAACAGAATCAGTAGAAGGTCTTCCGTTGGAAACGGAAGACCTTAATAATTTTGCAAATGACCAATGACAAGGTAAGTAAAGAACTACGAACGATAGTATTGTTCTCCCGCCTACCTCTAAGTCAATTCTTAAAAGTCAACATATTCGAATGATTTTCAAAATTTTTATAGATATTTATATGAATTTTCATAAAATGTTACTTTTTTGGGATACCAAAGAGAGATTACTTTATAATTTTTGTAAAACTTGTGTTTTTCACTATAGAAATCAACGGAAAACGGAAAATATTTTTAAAACATCCCCCCCCCCGTGAAACAAAAATTCTTTTTTACATGTAATATGGACTGTCATTTTACAAATTTATGCCAAAGCTTTTTGTGTTTCACACGGGGGAACATATGTTTATACACCAAAAACGAAAAAAAATGCTGATTTTTCACCAATTTTAAAGCTATTTACAATTAAATAATTGTAATTTATTAATTCATATAGGTTTTATTTATTTGCGTAAAACATAGCAAAAGATATGAGATACATTTCATCATATTTAAGACTATTTCAAAATAAGGTGATTCTTGAAAGTTCGATTTCATTAGAAAATATCGTCTACCTCCCTTTTTTCAAGAGCTGGAATTAATGATAATTTATTATCTAGCGCTGGAATTAAAATAATTAAGCAATTACCATAGAACGGTTCTTTGTATTAAACAAAGATTTAATGGCCAAATTGCCATTAATGTTGAATTTAATGGGTGCAAAATGTAGGCGGGAGTTAGAGTTCGTAGTTCTTTTCGAGTTCCATTTTTATTGAAAAAGCAGCTGTCGATGATATAGAAAAGCCTGAACTTTACTGTATCTTGGGAATGGTTGTGTATAAAGTTGAAAGATGTAGATTTTGGTAAAATCTTGTGATTTCAAATTGTCAAAAAGTTCCTTAGAATTTTTAAGTATCCACATAATTAAAATAAAACATTTGTAATCTTTGAAATATATCCGGTATTACATACCCTAAATTACTCTATCAGTAAAAAGGTAAGTTACAAACAAATTAGGATAAACATTTTTTTTATCTTTAATCTGTGGTAGAAAAAAAAGATAACATAGAAAACGCAGGTATGGCTCAGTCAAATATTTTTTTTTTTTAATTTTTGTTACTTTCTGTAGAAAAAAAATGAGCTCTTTAATTCGTTCCATCCATAGATATATGGAAATTTAGAATTCATTTAAAAAATTTTTATCAAGAAATTCTGACCGCCAATATGTACATTATTTTCAGATTTTATTGAAAAGAATTGTCAAATAATTGTGCATGGCTTTCATTAACCTAAACGCTAACCGCTTTCAAAACAAAGTCTTTAGGTGCGTAAGTAATTCCAAGAACTCCTTCAACTGGTGGCAGATGATCTGGATCCTCTGGTAGAAGCTTAAATCTCTGTATCAATGACGTCACAAACAAGAACAATTCCATCCTTGCCAAAGCTTCTCCTAAACACACTCTTCGACCTGCGTTTACAAAAATAAATGCGTTAAGAAAGACGAAGGTGCAGTCTTAGCTTTATTTTACCCTAAGAATTAAATGTTTTCAAAAAGTTTTGAAGCTGGTTCAAATATAGTTGAGTTAATGACTATGATAGATCAGGAAAGAATATGGCATCAGGGAGTACCATTCCGGGAATATGTCGTCATTAATTTAATGCGTTTCTCTATTTTAAACCGATGTTTCTCAAAATGACCTATCTCAAGGGTAATTTTCCTTCAGACAATAGCGTCCTCAACCGTCACCCTCTTTAATTTTTGGATATGTTATGTAAAATTAAAAAAAAATCAAATATCTCAAGATCGTTTTGGGCGATGCCTGTGGACAATATTATCTTAAATAAAATTCCATTGAAAATTGGTGTCTTCTGCAACTTTTTAAGAAAAAACGGGAAAATGCACATGTTTATGACGTCACAATTATCATTTAGAAATGCCTGTGAGAGAAAATAATTTGTATGATTTTTCTGCATGGAATTTCAAGAAAGCATGAGTTTTCATTTTTACATCAGTTTCATATTAATTTAAGAAAATCACAGGGCAATATTGAAACCATACCTTGTTCTTTACAAAATTACACATTAAGTCAACCAGTCGTATTTATACACATATTTCAGAAAAAATGAAGATACGTATTGGAGAAAAAATTCTCTCCCATATATCAAATGAATAAAAAGAATGTAAAAATATTTTGTTTCGGATCTATGAACTTTTCACTTTTTAGTTCGCTTAAATTACTGTCGATTCCAAATCAAAAACATCCATTTTTTTTTTTATTTTTGAGAAATGCTGAAAAGGTCTTACCAAGTGAGAATGCCAGGACTCTCTCGGTATTCTGAAGATTTCCTTTGTCATCCAAAAATCTTTCAGGACGAAAGACATGGGGTTCTTGAAATATTTTCTCATCAAAGAGGACAGAATGCAAATTAGGAATGAGAAGAGCGTCTTTAGGAATTGTGAAATCTTTGTAAGGAAGATCGCATGTCAGTCCATGAGGAACAGAGATCGGAGCAATGGATCCAAAGCGGAGCACTTCGTGTATTACTGCCTCACAGTATGGGAGATTTTGTTTATCTTCCATATTTGGGTATCGCGAAGAACCAGTGACGTCATTTATTTCCTTGCGCATCTTATCCTGGACATCAAGATGTCTGATCATAAATAAGGAAAACCATCGAAGAGCAGTTGAAGTTGTCTCTGTACCCGCCACGAAAAGTTCACCAAGAATCTTTAATAATTGCTCTTCTATAAATGAAACAAAGATCTACATTGGTTTAGGGATTGCATTTACTCTTTAATCATTTCCAACAAAAAAAATTATCAAAATACCAAAACAAATATGATTAAAACTGTATAAAATGACGAATGTCTTACCATCAAAAGTTGTGTTTGGATTAATTTTTTCCGACTTCATTTTCTTCATGTAAATATCAATGAAGTCTCTGGGATTATTTTCGTCAAACTCTTTCTCGTGATCCTTTACAATTTGACGAAGATGGTTTTCCACATCCACAACATTAGACAAAACCCTTTTTATTCGACACGTATCTCCTGGAATGTATCTAACAAATGGAAATATGGTTGCAATAAAAACTAAATTTTCGTTGCTCAAATTGTGGTTGATCTTATCTAGCAAGGATAGAAAGTTTTTATCGCTATGGTCATAACGATGGCCAAAGACGATTGAACACATAATGTTGGAGACGCAGACATTTATCAAGTAATGAATGTTGAAAGGTTCTCCTTTTTTGGAAGTGATTTCTTCAACGAACACTTCTATTTCTTCAATGATTCTGGACTCCAAGCTTCGTTTTCCGAACCCGAATTCTCTCAATGCATTTAAAGTGAAGGTCCTGTGTTCTTTCCATAATGCTCCAGAGGCAGTTGACAGACCTGAAAACATTTAGAAGGTATTCTTATGTGTGTGAGTTTAGACTACATGTAGCTCATATAACTATCATCGTCCTCCTCCATATTACATATAACTACCCAGTTTAACTACCTATTAGGGTCCTGCTATATTCCTGGGATGGAGTGGTCATAATTTGAATAGGTTTGAATCTACATTATCTGGGGATGCTTCTATGTTATTATGACAAATCATTGCTTTGCTGTTCTTGAAAAGAAGATTTTTCCTACTGTGTTTATCTGTAAAATATTGATCGTCCATTGAGGCCCAATATACATTATGTAAAGAAAACAAATCTTGAATTTGCCTTTCGCAAGATATTTTGTTCAATTGAAATTGACCTATTGTGTTTTTGTGAAGAATTTGAAAACGAGAGAAGTTTACTTACAGACGCAGACGCCAAATAAAATGTGATAAGGAAAGCTTGCTCCGGCTAAGAAGAGTTAAACCAACATGAAATTACTACTGTATTTAAACCCACATACATCTGTATGTACATGTATTCAAAACCACAATTTCATAGACGTACCTTTCTTTTTACCAATCTCCGTTGTTATGAAAATGTTAGGTCTTTCGGATACGACATCGCCATGTTTTATGAATACATCCCGCAGGGTATCATATCCACTTACAACGACGAGTACCTTGGAACCAGTGACCAGACTGAATACGTCACCATATTTATTTTTGTACTCTTCGAATTTCTCCAATAACGTGTCTGGATTTACACTGAGGAGATTTCCAATGAATGGCACTGTCGGGGGTCCGGGGGGAAGGGTAGAATCTCTCGTGGTTTTCCGCCACCATATAAACAAAAACACTACCACACCTGACAGGATAATACTCCAATAATCAAACATTATGTTTACGTATCCAAAGTGTCCGAAATCTAGAGTACTTCTGTCCCCTGCCTATTCGTTACATTCATAAACTGTCTGTTATGAACTGCGATTTCGTGGTTTTAAATGCAAAAACTGACGTAACCTATTAAACCTATTTCAAATACAATTCACTCACAGCTAGCATTTAATCTTACGCAAACCTCTCTCTCTTCTAAATCCATCGTTTTAAAATTTGCTGATTATTATTATTTTTTTTTTTTGCGACTGCGACACGGATCCTTGACCGAGTCTGCTTAGGACATGTGTACTAGCAGTAGTGGTTTATCATATACTGAGAACACATGTACTAGTAGGTGTTGGTGTGTACGTAGTTAAAGGTAAAACTCTGAATCTTCAGTAAGTGTCTTAACTTGAAATGTTTTGTATTTATCATGTATATGTATAACTTTACACCTTTAATATTTGTTATTTTGGCAATCACTAATTTAATTATTGTATATATTACAGGGAGAGGTTTTTCTAAGTTGCAAGAACTTGTAACTAATCCCGTTGTATAAATTATACAATAAATATGTTCAAAACAAAGCTAAAAATGTTATTTATTTTTGATAAAAAGTGACTTTAAAAAAAATTATATAACACTGACAGCCGTACGTTTCGATATATAACGAGTATGTCAGTAAAACCAAGTATATATATAGAATTACACCAAACGTTAGGCGCGGATCCAGAAATTTTTCCCTTAAATCAAATACCTATTTCGTGGGGGGAGGGAGGGGGTGTTGTAGTCGATGAATTATTATGCTTCAAACCTATGACTGTTCATACCAGTTTAACACAATTTCGCGTTTACCAGGGGGGTTCTGCGTTTTCCAAGGGGGTCCAAGGTAACTTTTTTTCTTGCTTTAGTATATAAATTTAATAACCTTGCAAATTCCAGGGTCGGGGGGGATCCTGACACACCCCCCCCCTGTAGATCAACGCATGACACGTATTGTATATTAAATGATTTACGATTGCGTTCATTGCAGCAATTATAAATAAATTACGAGGGACGTTCAATAGATAATGTCATTAGCTCGATGACATACAAAATAGAAATCAGATGACATTAAGCTTGGCTTTCTCTCATTATTGAATTTTTAAGGAATTGGCAACAATTCATGTGACCACTTTTCATCGCATTATTTCACTGTGAGAAGCTGGAAAACAAGGGCTATTCGAGACACTGCATTAAAAATGAATGGTCAAGAATCAGTAAACTAGAGTAAAATTAAATGCTTCGTTAAAGCAGCTGTAAAACTTGTTAATATCCCAAAAATATATAACTGAAATAAGTGAAATTTACAGCAACCAATGTCTGTTTTATAGACACGTGAACAGACGGATTTCAATAAACAAACATTATATAATGGGCATAAGAAATGGGTACCGTCCTTGGCAACAACCAGTGTATATTTGCGAAAATTCAACATATAATCACTGATAGCAAAATTGGTAGAAATCATTTTGGGGGTAGTTCACACTGTTTTAAAGAAACATTTGGTAGTAAAAAAGTTTAATACTCAAAGGTCACCCTATATTTTGAAAAATGAGTGAAATTGACAGCGTGTAGGAATGTCTAAACAATTATTTTTTAAAAAATCAAAAATTGTACTTATCCACGTTTGTCTAAAATTCAAACAGATAATGAAACTTGAATCCAGTTTGCTTTAAACCCTCAAAACAAATTTACAATAAGATGTACTTGACAAAACTGCAAAGACCTAAAAAGAGCAAAGAATTGCAAGAGCACAAAAAATCTATGCTATTTTCTTAAATATTAGCGGTCTTATTTTTCAAATTCATATTCGGGGAGGAAGTTCAAGTTCTGAGGGAATCTAGAAAACAAATTTTTTGCAAAAAAAAAAAAAAAAAAAAAAATTGAAAGGTTTATGCGAGGAATGAAACAGAATGAGGAATTCACTATATTTAATTTCTTAATGACAGCGTCCAAACCGACAGGCCATGAAGAGTAAAGGAGTTTTGGGGATAAACAGAAAGTAAATGTTTTGTCACACCAACAAAATCTGCCAGATCTTTCAACCTTTGACTTGTTTCATTTCCCAAACTCAGAAAAACATCTATCAGAAAAAAAACAAGTATAGCAAATCAAAGAATCTGCCATATTCCAGTAAACGAAGGGTCATACTCAAAAATGTGTCCTAAAACAATTAGAAATTGAATAAAAATGTTACGGACATGTGTTTTTATGAAAAAAAGAAATTTGTAGTTGTATCATTCAGACTATAAACATATAGGAAAGCGGTTTTTTTTATGTTTCTTTCCGAGCCCCAATGACATTATTTATTGAACGCCCCTCGTATATGTTCATGAAATTTTTAAATTTAAAAAACTGGATATTTGGAATATTGTTGCATCCAGAGACGCTTGACGTTTTAAATCTTTCTCTTTATAAATAAAAATTCCCTTTACTACAATTATTATTATAGTATAGGAATTTTTTTTTATTTATAAAGAGAAAGATTAAAAACGCCAAGCGCCTGTGCAACGAACAGAAATAAGTGTCTCAGCAAGTACAGTCGATGATATCGTTATAAATTTTTGTTTATAAACTTTTCTTCATTAAGATCAAGGATGCATCTATTTCATCCATCGTACAAGTTTGTTTCCTCTGCGATTCTGTTGAGATTGCTAGCTAGTGTCAAAAAGTTGGAGGACACTTCTGTTTCTTTTTGTAACTCTTTTCTCTTCAGTGACCATGCTTTGAGCATACATGTACTTAAGAATATACTGGCCCAGTGTTTCTTAAAAGGAAGATTTTCAAAGATGTCCGCAAACTTTCATGATTTTTTTTCTCTCTTTTTGAAAGATATCGGGAGTCTTTATTCGAACTAAATTGTAAGGATGCGTCTTGTGGCAAGTTTGATTAAAAATAGCTTTAGAAATCTTGGAGATTCATCAGAAGTTGAACATGTGAAAAAAAATTAAAAAAACAAACAAACAAGCGCATAGGACGTAGAGCTGATTCCTTACTGCTCAATGGCTTTGAGAGCTAGTAAAAACCTAAATCCTTCACCGATCTGTAGACTCATTAGATTAGGTTTATTTCCGGCTTGTTTCTCTGATGCAGTGATGATGAGAGGTATTGACTTTCTCATGAAAGGGACAACAGTTTTTCGAAGACTACCTTTAGACAAAGTCGGTATCCATTGTAAATGGATGGACTGATACAGTGCCGAGAAAGTGTCATGTCTTCGCACATAACATAATCTTAATGTGCCCAAGGTAGAGCTTGAACCAGTGGTTTTTGGGTTAGTGACAAAATACCTTTGAACAATAAGGCAAGTCCTGAATGTCGAATATAGTGATAAACCTGATTTCCTGCATTGGCAAACAGTGATCTCTCATATAAGTGAAAAAAAAATTCTTGAAAGAGACGACAAACGACAATGAATCAACATCTCATATCCGACAGAAAAACATCTCATATACGACAGAAAAAACAGATGGGATTTTTAGATCTCAAAAACTTAATTTAGCTTTCAGCTCAGATGTTTAGAAAAAGTGATAAACCTTCTTTACATGGAATGAAACGTCATGTTTTCAGGGCATTAAAATGATTAAACCTCCTATGAAGGAAATAATTTTTTCCCAGTGAAACCAATGTTTGGTAAATTGTGTTTACATGGTCCATCCTTAATAACATTCAACAACAGCACAACAAAAGATAATTTAAGTTTATTCAATATTTTTATTAACGAAAAATAGAACTCGGCGTCCTTGGTGACGTTTGTATAAATAGAGTATATATAGGATATGCGCCATATGTTTAACCAAACCGAAAAGGATATAACCCAACATGGCGGGCGATATTCTTATTATCGGTGGAGAGTAATAAATCATGAAAAATACAAATTATTTGACAATAAAACAAATAAATAACATAATGTGTTTGTGAAACACTTTAGTCCCTTGTGGCAGCATTTGGCGAAAGTTAGTTTCTCAAATTCAAGTCTAAACTCAAATTCAAGAGATAAAAAATATATTGGTTCCCCAAAAATAGGTGGTCTTGTCACAAGAATATTTCCTGTTAAATACGAAAGCCCTAGCTAAAGTCGCTCAAAATCATAACCATGGTTTTTTTTTTTTCAAAAGTAGGCCATAATCAAAGGGTGTAACAAATGTTGGCACTATACATGCAAGTCCTAGCTCTAACCGTTAAAAACGTATAGCTAAGGTGAAAGTTTGGAATAAAATTTTGGCAAAAATCTGCTAAGTTGATTCAAACTCCAAGGTAAAAATCAAATTATAATATGCTAATTCTTTTTTTTAAAATAAATCTTGCCACAGGGAAGATACATATAAAAAAGTACTCAGAAGTACTGAAAGCCGGGCTCATTTACAGGGTAATGAACAAAGACCGCAATGACAGATTAAAAACAAGCTGATTCAGACATTGAAAAGATGATTATATATATCTATATATGTCATATATAGCATTAAAAAGCTTTAAAATTAATTAAAATGTAGCTATAATTTAACAGCGTAAAATATGTGTCACATGTATCATTTCGGGGTTTTACATACCAACAGAAGTAAATGAACACTGGTTCAGCAAGATTATTTAAGGTCAAACAATTATGCACAGATGGGTCCTCAGCGGGGAGTTTTGCATCAAAGCGTACATCAAGTCATTAATGGTGTCCCCCGCATTTGTATTAGCACACCCTTTATTTATAGAATATGACGCAGACAGGGATCCCTGATGAAAACCTTTCGCATATTTTAACCAAATGATTAATCATCGAAAACGATATAAAGTATTTTATTATAATTATTTTTTGACAATTTCAGATAACTATGAAAGTTTAACAGTGTTTGTATTGCCTCAAAGGTGAAGACGTACTATATTCTAACTCGTAAATTTAATTTGGCGGTGAAGAAGCAGCATTTTCTGTTTTTAGCCGGGTACGAGTTAAAAACCAACAAGTCAAATGTTTTGGCAAGGTTAATGTTTTTTTTTTTCGGACAAACAGACAGAAAGACAGAATTTAAAAATTCTTCAATTTTTCAGAGGCCCAGCACTTCAAAGATGAATTCGGTAACTTTTGTAGTTAAACATATAAAGTTTGGATGAATTTTAAGGTCCCATGATGTTTATGATCTGTTGAGGTTTTTACTAAACACTAGGAAACATTAGCTACATGTAAACCCAATGCCTATGGTTATCACGTCTTCTTTCATTTCACGTTTGTTGCCATACTGTAGTACTAAACATAGGTAATCAGAGATTACAGAGCTCACCTCAACGAATGTTGTCTTTAAGTAAGGCAAAGTCACACAATTAACCAACAAAAAGTATACATGCCAAAAATGAAAATATTTTTAAAAGCAATTTTGATCTGATACTTTGAAATAGACCTACATAAAAAATTTAAACTACTTCTTCTTCATGAAAATGTAATGAAAATCCAGCATCTGAAGCAAATTTGAGAGTTTTCATCTCTTGATGCAGCATTTGTGCAAGTTTGGTTTATACAATGTTATATAAGCCTTATAGTTTTTGGTAATAGACCTGCAACCATAACTTTTACCTTGTCTATTATCTGAAAAATGTATGTCCAATTCAGCATCCGAAGCAAGTCCATTAGTGTGCATCCTTAGATGTATCATCCATGCAAGTTTGCTCATTATAGGGCTCATAGTTTATTGGAAATGAAACATGCATCAAAACTAACATTTTCACTCATCCACAAAAAGTAGGTCAGATTCAGCATCCGAAGCAAGCCTGGAAGTATGCATCCTTACATGTATCATCTATGCAAGACTGGTCATTAAAGAACTCATAGTTCCTTGGAAATGAAACCTGCACCAAAAACTTTTAACTATTCACTCAACCGGAAAATGTAGGTCAGATTCAGCATCCGAAGCAAGCCTGGTAGTGTGCATCCTTAGATGTATCATCCATGCAAGTTTGGTCAACACAGGGCTTAAAGTTACTTGCAAATGAAACCTGCACCAAAAACATTAACCTGTTCGCTCAAATGGAAAATGTAGGTCAGATTCAGCTTCCGAAGCAAGCCCGGTAGTATGCATCCTTAGATGTATCATCCATGCAAGTTTGGTCAACATAGGGCTTACAGTTACTTGGAAATGAAACCTGCACCAAAAACTTTAACCTGTTCACTCAACTGGAAAATGTAGGTCAGATTCAGCATCCGAAGCAAGCCCGGTATTATGCATCCTTAGATGTATCATCCATGCAAGTTTGGTCAACATAGGGCTTATAGTTACTTGGAAATGAAACCTGCACCAAAAACTTTAACCTGTTCACTCAACCGGAAAATGTAGGTCAGATTCAGCATCCGAAGCAAGCCCGGTAGTATGCATCCTTAGATGTATCATCCATGCAAGTTTGATCAACATAGGGCTTATAGTTAATTGGAAATGAAACCTACACCAAAAACTTTATCCTGTTCACTCAACCGGAAAATGTAGGTCAAATTCAGCATCCGAAGCAAGCCCGGTAGTATGCACCCTTAGATGTATCATCCATGCAAGTTTGGTCAACATAGGGCTTACAGTTACTTGGAAATGAAACCTGCATCGAAAACTTTAACCTGTTCACTCAACCGGAAAATGTAGGTCAGATTCAGCATCCGAAGCAAGCCCGGTAGTATGCATCCTTAGATGTATCATCCATGCAAGTTTGGTCAACATAGGGCTTATAGTTACTTGGAAATGAAACCCACACCAAAAACTGCACCAAAAATGTTAACCTGCTCCAAAAACATTAACCTGGTAATTCCTTTGCTGAAATTGCAGCATCTGAAACTTTGTCTGGTACAATAAAACACACTAAAACCATCTTCCAAGCATGTCTAATCAGTATAGGACACAGAAGTAATTAAAAAGAAAACTGCTCCAAAAAACTTAACCTTAACCTGGGACGCCGACGCCGACACCGACGCCGACGCCGAGGGTATCACATAAGCTCCCCCCAACTTCGTTGAGGTGAGCTAAAAATGCACATACAGTCTTCAGTAAAATGGTTTTACCTCCATGTACCTATAAACCCAAAGATAATCTGACATGCACATATGCATTTATTTTTGGATTTCATTAAACAGAACTTGTTAAACAATAAAATGTATTTGAGTTTCATTAACCTAAACGCCAACCGCTTTCAAAACAAAGTCTTTTGGTGCGTGCGTAATTCCGAAAATGCCTTCTACTGGTGGCAGATTATCTGGATCCTCTGTTAGAAGCTGAAATCTCTGTATCAGTGACGTCACAAACAAGAACAGTTCCATCCTTGCCAAAGCTTCTCCTAAACACACTCTTCGACCTGTGCATAAAATAAATACTATTATTATACCTCATTATAAATATTCTACACAACGCGTTATCTGATTGGTTCTAGGTTATCACGTGATCGGGCCGTAAAACTTCATATTTCCCGTCGTCGACACGGTTTTCATCATATTCCACCTCTTCGGAACACCAAGTGAATTTTCCCGTAATATAGTTCTCGTTCGTTGAACAAAAACTCCTGAGAGTAGTAGACGTCACAATAGCCTGGTTTACGTCACAAAATTTATGACAGTGTGTTGACCAAAGGGTTTTATAGTAACTTTACGGTAACAATGAAAGTGAATTTGAGAGTGGTGCCGAATTTGAAAGTTTATGTTTATTTCAAAGGTTTTGCTTGTTTCGGTATAATAAACAATTCATTGCATGAATGTTCGGGAAACATGAAGACTTATTCAGCCAAGAAATATCATATTCCCCTCGGGCGAAGCCCTCGGGGAATATGATTTTTCTTGGCTGAATAAGTCTTCATATTCCCCTCACTATCATGCGATAATTGTATAGTAGCCCTTATCAAACTTGTTAAAAAAACCCATTGTTCTTGATAAAATGTATGTACATGTATTAGAATAAATGCAATCGAAATATGCGCATAAAGTAATTTCACGATGAAATGAAGTGTATCAAATTCACATGTATAACTTTTTTTATCCTAATAGAACATGCACTTTGGAACTCTGTGCCTTTTTGCGATGCTCACTCTGTCACAATATGACCTCATAAGATTTAATCTTTTAAAATACTGAATAGTCCTTACCAAGTGAGAATACCAGAACTTTCTCAGTATTCTGAAGATTTCCTTTGTCATCCAAAAATCTTTCAGGACGAAAAGCATGGGGGTCTTGGAATATTTTTTCATCAAAGAGGACAGAATGCAAATTGGGAATGAGAAGAGCGTCTTTAGGAATTGTGAAATCTTTGTAAGGAAGATCACGTGTCAGTCCATGAGGAACAGAGATCGGAGCGATGGCTCCTATACGCAACACTTCGTGTATTACTGCCTCGCAATATGGGAGATTTTGCTTATCTTCCATATTTGGGTATCTTGAAGAACCGATGACGTCATTTATTTCCTTGCGCATCTTATTCTGCACATCAGGATGTCTTATCATAAATAAAGAAAACCACCGAAGAGCAGTTGTACTCGTCTCTGTACCCGCCACAAAAAGTTCACCAAGGATCTTTAACAATTGGTCCTCTAAAAATGAAATATGAAAAACTGCGTTGATTTAAGGATTGCATGTACTGTTTGGTCATTTCCAAAGATTTTATCAAAATACCAAAAACAAATATGATTTAAACTGCATAAATGCCTTACCATCAAAAGTTGTGTTTGGATTACTTTTCTCAGACTTTATTTTCTTCATGTAAATATCAATGAAGTCTCGAGAACTATTTTCGTCAAACTCTTTCTCGTGATCCCTTAAAATTTGACCAAGATGGTTCTCCACGTCCACGGTGTTAGTCAAGACCTTTTTTATTTGACAAGGATCTCCTGGGATGTATCTAACAAACGGAAGTATAGTTGCAACAAAAAGTATATTTCCATTGCTCAAATTTTGGTTTACCTTTTCTAACAATGACGTAAATTTTTTATCACTATGGTCATAACGCTTACCAAAGGCGATGGAACACATAATATTGGCGATACAGATATTTATCAAAGAATGTATGTCGAAAGGTTCGCCTTTCATAGAAATTGTCTCTTCAACGAACACTTCTATTTCTTCAATGATTTTGGACTCCAAGCTCCGTTTTCCGAACCCGAATTCTCTCAGTGCATTTAGAGTGAAGGCCCTGTGTTCTTTCCATAATGCTCCAGAAGCATGTGACACACCTAAAAATATAAATATATAAACTCAGGTTATACTGTTATTTATGAGAGTAAAAATTGAGTTAAGATTATTTGAATTACTACCAATCATATGCTTAATATATGCAATACATATATAACATATATACTAGGTAAAAACTGCGATTATTAATATAATAATATATCAAAGTGGTATAAACTTCATAAAGCATCACCGTGATGAGGCATCCTCTACTCATGTAACCAAACTTAGTGTAGAATCATGAGTTTTACATTTTAAAGTTATTGTCCAAAAAAGACAGGTATAATTTAAGTTATCGTTCAGAGAAGACAGGTACACTTAAAACCCTGTAAACTTGACTTAATCAATAGACGTTGGATCACGAATTTTGTAACCTTATGACCTAAAACATACCCTTGATTTTGTATCTTGTTTAGGATAAAGTAACTGAAAAAGAGACAGACCAAGTACAGAACCAAATTTCCCTCCACACTTCGGCATGCTAACATAGGTATATATCATCTTCCTCCTACATATATTTGTATACAAGGAGAGCATAACGTATACTTTTATTTGCATTACCCAATTGTCAATTTGCTTTATATAATTTCCTTTTCCAGTTATTTGTTTTCAATAAGTTTCCAATTACATTGAATAATTTTCTAATTGAATCGCCTATTTTTTCATTTATAATGTATAATTTTTCAGTAATAATGTATTTTTTTTTGTTTTGTGTATTCTATTGTATAATTTTTCAATTTGTCTTGCATAATTAAACAATACAAATAAAAAAATATAGAATGCAAATGAAAATTATTGAATATAAATGAAAACTTGTGCATAAATGGAAAATTATACACTACAAATAAAACGTAAAATAGTCTAAAGATAGAATACAATTCAAATGAAAAATTTAACAATACAATGGGAAGATTAAATACAATAAACCAAAAATAAATTAAATTAAAATAGAAATAAACATCATACAATGCAAATGATTTTTTTTTAGAATACAACAACTGGAAAGCTTACGGAAAAAACTAGAAAATAATGAATACAAATGGAAAATAATAATACCAATGGAAAAATATAAATTACAAATAAACTTTTTGACAATACAAATAAAAGTTATTCAATGCAAGTGGAAAAATTAAAAAGATCGAAGATTACAAAGTGTGACAGATCAAATTTCTATGTACACATTCTTTAAGAAAAAAATATGGAAAATTCAAAGAGAGGTAAAAAAGAAACATCTTATGGAGAAACTTAAGAAAAATGCTAAAGAGGATTTTATACTTTTAGATTTTTATTAACTCAACTGTTCTTTCTATTATACAATTAGGAACTTGTGTTTTAGCTGCTTTCGCATAACATAACTGAATTTTTAAGCCATCTCCTTCATAGAGATATACTACATGTATTTATATTAAATGGGCTATCTTTGGGTTTATAGGCATGTATAATATAATTACGTTAATTATATGAAAAATAAGATCTATCAGTCAATTTGTTTATAACTCATCTCTTAAATTATGTCTGTCTATTATTTACAGTTATATTTTTATATTGTGTAAAATACTCACACCTCAATGTTCATGTACATTGCACAATGCCTATACCTGAATGATAAAGATTATTATTTTTGCATCTCGATCATGTCGATCGTATCAAGAAATTTTTAAAAGTTAATTGCAAATGAAATAGATACCTTTGTTTTTTCCAATTACCGTTGTTAGAAAGCTGTCAGGTCTTTCGGATACGACATCGCCATGTTTTATGAATACATCCCGCAGGGTATCATATCCACTTACTACGACGAGTACCTTGGAACCAGTGACCAGACTGAATACGTCGCCATATTTATTTTTGTACTCTTCGAATTTCTCCAGCAACGTGTCTGGATTTTCACTGAGGAGATTTCCAATGAATGGCACTGTCGGGGGTCCGGGGGGAAGGGTAGAATCTCTCGTGGTTTTCCGCCACCATATAAACAAAAACACTACCACACCTGACAGGATAATACTCCAATAATCAAACATTATATTTACGTATCCAAAGTGTCCGAAATCTAGAGTACCTGTCGGTGTAAATCCCTGTCTTATTATAGATCAAGTCTTGAATAACACAGCCTGGATAAACCCTCAATTACATGCATGCTGTTTCACTGGGCACTGCTCTCATTTTAAATACAGCTGACTAATATGGCGACCCGTCCTTGACCATACTGACCAGGACTGCCGATAACGCGAGTACTCGTTAGAATATAGTGAATATCTCGTGTTTGTATAAGTTTTAACATAAACAAATGGATAAAAAGTAAGGCATTGAAAAATCACAGTGCTAAAATAAGCACACATATGCAGTTTGATATGGCTGTCTTAACACTGCAGGAGATATGCCTAAATAATGGGGTATAGCACGGTCAGTTAAAAATACATCCCCAGAATAATGAACTCAAGCCTAGGTGTTAATATGTGCATGTTCGACAATGGGGGTCCATCAAAACATTTGTACCAGTAGCAAATAAGGTAATTAAGAGGAAAAAATCTATTCAGTATCCAGTATTTATTTCAACGAGAAAAGGATATCATAGCAGGTTATTATCACTTACTTCGGACTAAATAGATAGATGGCCAGATAGAGCAAATTAAGACACTTTCAACCATATCATAATATTATTACATTATCATATGCTATAGCTGAGTTTAAAAATTATTATAGATACAAGGGTTTGTGCCTTTGAAAAATAAAGTGGCACGGTCTAAAAAGCATAAAGAATAAAGCTGCAAACTTTTTAACAACTTGCCGAAAACCATGAGCATAGATTTTCATGGCATGAAAAAATCTTAATTTATTCATGAAGTTCTATGACTTCTCAAAGAATTGAATATTATGATTTCTGTTTTAATCAGCAATTCGAACAAATTAAAAAATGCACGTCAATGAAGGGTTTTTTGTAGAAAGGGTGCAGTTGTGATGTGCAATAGTTCCCATAAACATCTCAAGATGGATCACCCGTGGATGTTTTGTCCTTGTAGTGTTTTTGGTTATATGAGAAAGAACTAGCTCCTATATAGACGAAATCTGAAACCGACACCAAGACAGAAGTACCGCATCAGTTCATCTCAATTTGATCAATGTATATCAATAAAGACGATAAGAAACTATTAAAGAAGTTTCACAACTAAACACTGGTTGCCTTAAGTAAGACGTCCTTTGGACCATAAGTCACCCCGAGAACCCCCTTTAGTGGTGGTATCTGTTGGGGATCAGCAGGAAGGATTCTAAATCGCTGTACTATGGATGAAGCAAAAAGAAACAACTCCATCCTGGCCAAGGATTCACCAAGGCAAACACGACGACCTGAGATAAAACAAGAAATATAAAGTTCATTTGATATTAAACGAATCAATGGTTCTTATTCTCTGTCAATGTCAGTATCTATAATTCCACATTGAAATAGTTCATGATGCAAAAAGAAGGCAAGAGATTTAGCTAGTTTCCCGTTTTGAAATATTTACATTTTTCAATGTCTTTCTCTGAGATAAAACTACAAATAAGGTTACAGCTTTATAACCCCATTAAGCAATTTGCCCGTGACAGAACTGCATGATATATAGCTGCGTGTTGCTTAGTAATACACCTTTCAGGGATGCTGAAATTTCTTCTTATTAATTTCTTTTATAGAATCAAGGATCAGGTAAAAATGTATTTTAAAGAATAACTGTCTTTTTTGTTTTAAGATGAAGATCAATCAATTTGCTCGCGTGCTAATTTTAAGCATAAACGCCTTCGGTCTTTATGCAATTATCATGCTAGCAAACTAATTGATAACATTATAAAACAAAAAACGACTAAACATTATTATCGATACGTTGATAAACCAAGGAAAATTAAAACTCTTACCAACAGAAAATGTTATGACTTTGTCCGTGTTAATTAATCTTCCCTCGGCGTCCAAGAATCTCTCCGGTCTGAAGACTTCCGGATCCTCAAATACGTTGGAGTCAAAAAGTACAGAATATAGATTAGGGATTAAAATGGCATCTTTTGGGATAACAAATTCTTTGAATTTAAAATCATTTTTTAATCCATGGGGAACAGATAAAGGCACGATACATCCAATACGGAGAACCTCGTGAAGAACTGCTTCTGTGTATGGAAGATTTGGTCTGTCGTTCATAGTGGGGTACCTGCTATTTCCTATGACGTCATTAATTTCTTTGCGCATCTTTTCCTGCACTTCTGGATTCCTGATCATAAAAACAGCAAACCATCTAAGTGCTGTAGACGTTGTTTCCGTTCCAGCGACAAAAAGATCTCCCAAAATTTTTATCAACTGTGTGTCTGGAAAAGTTAATCATCTGTTATTTTCAATTTGAAATGCATCGTTGTTTAAGTCTGACGTACAGCAAATCTTTCATATGGTTTTTGAAATTTAAAACTAATTTTGTATTTTTGTAAGAACCCTAAATGTTCATGTTACAGCAATCCAATTTGTTAAAAAAAATCTTACTTTAAGAGCAATTTCAATGAAAGGATCTCGGACAGTTTTTTTTCACAGTTGAGGTTCTTGTCCACATTTTAACAAAATTCTTTCTAAAGTAGTTGGGGTTACCAGGATCATATTTTTCTAACTTTACTATACATGTACAAATAAAAAACTACAAATCCCAGGGGTTTTGAACCCCACCCCCTTTCTGGAGTCGCGTGTGAGTGTTACTACCGGTACTGAGTAATTAAATGTATTTTAATTTTTTAAAAATTCAAATGTTCTGTAAGTTAGTCAGGCAACTTTACTTGGATACTCCAATGACTATTGCCTCAAATGATATATTAACTTGAGTACAGAATAAGTAAAAGTGAGTTGTGGAAACCACTGATCCCTACTTATTTTAACTACAAATTCAATGTAAGTTCGTGCAGGTTAAAAAAAAAAATAAAATGAAATAAAAATATATATAAATTTACGTTGATTTTTTTTAAAAAGGCGATGTAATCTCACCATCAAAAGTCGTGTCTGGATTGCTCTCTTCCGATTTCATTTTCTTCAAATATACATCGATGAAGTCTCTGAGATTGTTTTCATCAAAGCTTTGTTTGTGATCAGTGATAATTTTATTGAGATACTCTTCCACCATATTAACATTCTTCAATGCTTTTCTTATCTTTAATGGATCACCCGGGACATACCTCAAAAACGGAAGAATGGTTGCTACAAACATGATATTTCCGTTGCTAAGGTTTTCATTGATTGATTTGATGAGCGACGTGAAGTATTTGTCGTTATGTTCAAATCTTTCACCAAAGTTAATAGAACACATGATATTTGAGACGCACACAGTTATCAACGCTTGCATATCGAATGGTTGTCCATTTTTTGACTGAACTTCTTGGACAAAAACTCGCACTTCCTCCAATATTTTCGATTCCAAGCTTCGTTTTCCAAATCCAAACTCTCGGAGAGCATTTAGACTGAATGTTCTATGTTCCTTCCAAAATTCACCCGAGGCAAGGATGACACCTGTATGTATATGAAAAATGTTTATACTCGTCTAATATGTGATTAACGTGTTTTAATGGTTCTTTAGTTTGTTATCAACCCCTCAATACATCCACAATCTTATTTTCTATGTAAAGTGGTATCTGTTTATTATCAAAATCATGATTTTTTTCTCCATTTTTGTTAACAAATTTGAAACGACTGCATATAATACTACGTAATGTAGATAAAAGAAAAAAGTAAAAAAGAAAGAAACCGAAAGGAAGAAAACATTTATTTGTTCAGAGAGTTATAAAATGATAGTGTACATAAAATCTCTTTAAAGTTACATGTAAGACTGCAAAGCCATATACGTGTACAGAGGAAGGAATAAGAGTGCCTGAAAATATCACTTATACACGAATTTGATAGAATTATAAATTTTGACCCTAACAAGCTCCAGTATATGATACTATGTAAACAATGAGTAAGCTAGTTATATATATATACCTTTATATTTGGCTATTTCTTTGGTTGCAAAAATATCTGGCCTTTCGGAGACGATGTCCCCATGCTTAATAAAAATATCTCGAATGGTGTCCAGTCCGTTTACAACAACCATTGTTTTAGTTCCTGTAATCAAGCTGAAAACGTCTCCATACTTCTCTCTATATGACATGAAATTATCCACGATAGCATCAGGAGAAACAGACAGCAGATTTCCCAAGAAAGGAAGCGTGGGTGGACCCGGGGGTAAGGAGGAGTCTCGAGAGGTATTCCTCCACCACACGAACAAAATAATTACCACAAAGGCAAGAAAAACAGTCCATAAATCTATCATCGTCTTAACTTGGTACTGGTAGTACTTATCGATGTGTATGGCAGGCAGTTTAGACCTTCATTGTAATATCTTGTAAGGTTTTTTTTGTTCGCGTTTTCACACTTAATTTAAGGTAATACAGGGAGAAAAGATAACACTATTTCAACTATTTATTAAATTGGATTTTATCTTTGATTACAAACTAAACACATGCCTAGAAAACCGATACTTTAAGATTGTTATACTTAATTTAAATAGGTATATAACACGTCTTTCACTTATGGTATAGATTACGACATGGTATACATGCAATTATATTACAGTAATTTACACATTTATCAATAATGTCAGGTCATATATTCAGCCTTTCATTTAGTCCTCATCTGGCGGGAGTTGGGTACATTATTAAGGTCAGAGCACGGCTTGATGTTACTTGGATACACAGTGGATTGACTTCCTCCAAATACTTCGAACAGTCTTTCATTCAGAAAAAAAGATCATATACAGCATCTAATGAAGTTCGGTAGTTCATGTGCTTCCTTGGATATATTATCCACAAGCTTTGGCAAGTCACTAGGAAAGTGTTTGTTTCGAAAAAATTATCCAGATCCTTCCTCTAGAAAATGCAAGACGGGTGCAATTCTGATGTGCAGTACTTACATATCTCAAGGTGGATCACCCGAGAGTTTTATGTCTTTGTAGGGTTTATGTTATATGAGGAAGGACTAGCTCCTAAACACAATCTTAAACCGACACCAACGACAGAAGAACGGCACAAGTTCATCTCGATTTGATCAATGTGTATAAAAAAAAAGATAATAAACTATTAAAGATCAGAATCTGCTGACCCTGGGGCCTTGAAATTCACAATTCTTGAAGATAAGGGCCTTTGCTCATAACTATATAGGTAGTTCATCTGCTTAATACACAGCACAAGAAGAAGAAATTCCACAACTAGACACTGGATCAATTGCCTTCAGTAAACGTCTTTCTATACATGTGTAATCAATAGAGCCCCGCCCTAACACCAGAACCCCTGACCCTTGGGCCTTCAGTAAGACGTCTTTTGGACCATAAGTTATCCCGAGAACCCCCTTTAGTGGTGGTATCTGTTGGGGATCAGCAGGAAGGATTCTAAATCGCTGTACTATAGATGAAGCAAACAGAAACAACTCCATCCTGGCCAAGGATTCACCAAGGCAAACACGACGACCTGAGATAAAACAAAAGATGTTATACTAGAAAAGACTACAAAGACGATAAGGTACAGTGTACAATAAAAATAAACACGACAGCCTGCGATTAAACATGCACTAAATTTCATCAAATTAAAAGGAATGAAAGCTATGATCAAATTATTTACATGATTTTTTAAAAAAAAGCATGTAAATTAAATCCACTAGAGAAATTTTGGTAGAACTCTTACCTAACTAGTTAGTTTATTTAATACACAGGAGCAGAGAAGAAGATTTTCAAAGAAATAATGCTTTTTCACTATATACTTATTTAGCCCCGCCCTAGCACAAGAATTTCACAATTTTGGTAGAGGACTCAATGCTAATTACAATCATGCAAACAGTTTGACTGCTTGATGTCCAGGAGTAAAGAAGAAGATTTTTAAAGATTGCATTAATTTTACTGGTTTTGGCCCCACCCCCCAGGCCCCAGGGGGGCAGGGATCATGAAATTCAAAATTTTTGTTCCCCCTCACCCATAGATGCTTTGTGCCAAATTTGATTGAAATTGGTTCAGTGGTTGCAGAGAAGAAGCTGAAAATGTTCAAAAGTTTACGACCGATTGACGAAACGTACGACACGAAAACAGATAGCAATAGGTCACCTGAGTGACTCAGGTGACCTAAAAATAAACACGACAGCCTGCGATTAAACATGCACTAAATTTCATCAAATTAAAAGGAATGAAAGCTATGATCAAATTATTTACATGATTTTTTAAAAAAAAGCATGTAAATTAAATCCACTAGAGAAATTTAAACTCTTACCAACTGAGAATGCCAAGACTTTATCAGTATTTATAAGTCTTCCGTCATCATCTAAAAACCTCTCTGGTCGAAAGACTTTCGGATCTTTAAACACGCATGGGTCAAAAGAGACAGAATAGAGATTAGGTACTAAAATGGCATCTTTCGGAATTATAAATTCTTTGTATTTTAATTCACTATTTAATCCATGGGGAAGAGATAAAGGCACCACACATCCAAAACGAAGAACCTCGTGCAGAACTGCCTCTGTGTACGGAAGATTTGGTCTGTCGTCCATTGTTGGGTACCTGCTATTTCCTATGACGTCATTGATTTCTTTGCGCATCGTTTCTTGCACTTCCGGGTTTCTGATCATAAAAACAGCAAACCATCTAAGAGCTGTAGATGTCGTTTCTGTTCCAGCAGCAAATAAATCTAGCAAAAGCTTTACTAACTGTTCATCTGGAAAATAATGGCAGTCTACTCACTATAGACAATAATGGCCAACTCATAGCTTATTTGTATGACAAAGGGGATGTCTTAAGTCTTCCTTTCGTTAAATCACATATTTATGTAGAAAAAACTCCAGATTACCCTGCATTTGGTGTAAATATCTCCTAACAAATTCGATACTCAAGACTGTTCTCTGTTATAATATTTTTTTTTAACCTAAGAAAGGTATTGGCGAATAAGTCGAAGTTACAGGATAAGATTATCCGATCTAATGACGTTGTTTGCAATACAACCGTTCATACGAATTTATTTTGTCTTTCATTTAGTTCGCAATTTTTTTCAAATTCAAGTTTACGAATTACTCTGTCCATATCAGATCTAATCCCACCGTTGGTGTTTCATGAGATTCTAGCTTTTATCCTGTTCACGATTCGTTTACTTGATTTATGAGATTGATTACGGGTTGTTATCTTCAACATTACATCAAGGCCATCTTATTGCAGCCCGGAGGACCGGGCTGCTCTATACATATAAGTTTAAGTGTTGGTGTATGGGGATTGGGGTGGGAGTAGTTATTCAGAATAAAAGGTTTTCTAAACATTGAAAAGATTGTTAATCAGAAAGTTCTTTCCCTTTATAAATTATGAGATACATAATATATTTACTTCCATAAAGTGAATCTTTAAAAATATATATGTTTTTCTATTTAATATATAAAGTTGCTTATAATTTACTATTGAAAAAACGACAGGTCCCTTTTTTTAGAACATCGAATTTTACTTCTCGCATAAAAACGTACTTTGCACAGTTCGTGTTTATATTATAAAATGGAAAATTAAATACATATTTGAATATAGGTGATGCATGTGTCAACTTCAATTTATATTTTATACAGCCAACATTTACTCGAGGAATTTAAGATTAAAATAGTATCGTTTTTGTTTGATATTTATCCGACTATAAGTTTTCAAAATATTCGCGACTATCGTCTCCATCAATTAGACGCATGCCTTTTCACACATATCGAAGCGGTTTAATGGTCAAGGCACATTTCCATTGTTTGCTTTATATATTTCCCGGGCGACAATTGATGGTTACATCAATGTTTTCTTGTTTACATAAATGATATGCGTCACTGAAAATTTCATGCAAAAATACATTTGGGGCATGACATTTTTACTATATGCATAACATTTTTGTCTAAGAATAAACAGTTTGTTATGCTCATTTAGGGTCAAATGCAGGTTCGGTCTCGAGGTGTGTTTCCAATGGCACTAGGTCTCACCTTACAAACCCTCGAGTAATGCCAACCGTTTCAAACAGGTTCTGCCAGCAAATCGCATGTCACAACTCCACGTTTCGTGGCCCTGGTAATACTTTGGTAGCTGAGTGACAGTTTTGAAAAGCGAGACTCCGGCGCCTTTAAATAGCTGGAACTAGTGGCTAAGAGAAGGAAAACCCCAACAGAAAACCACTGGCCCTCCGAGTCCAAGGGGTTTCTGTATGGCTACATGTAATCACCAGGCAGAGTAATATTTCCAATGATTACGAAAACCCAAAATACACTGAGCAGACAGCGGGAGGTTAGCCCTCTAACTGTGATAAATAGTAATGCAGAGGACAACATGACGCAGGTGGATGAAAGCCATTTAGAAGTCCACAGGCCGAAATCCCTATGCACATCCAAAACAATATATATATAGGGGGCTAGAATGTGAGATCCATATATAATACAGGAAAATAGCCCAGATAGAACAGGAAATTGATAGATATAGAGTAGATATAATAGGACTTAGTGAAGTCAGATGGCCTATGAATGGAAACACTACATTACAAAGTGGGAAACTAGTGCTAAACTCAGGACGATAGGATGGATTACATCAAGACGGAGTAGGAATAATGATGACAAAGAAAGCTAAAAAGTCACTGATGGAATGGAAACCCATTAATGAGAGATTGATGTATGTAAGATTCTATACATCATCTCTAAAGATAGGAATGATAGTAGTTTACCCACCAACAAATGAGAGCCCTGAAGAGGCAGAGGAAGAATTCATGGAACAATTGCAGGAAGTTATTAACAACATTCCAAAACAAAATGACATACTGCTCATTATTGGAGATTATTAGAGGTTTTAATGCAAAGATTGGTAGCAAAAATAACGGTCATGAAAGTGTTATGGGGAAACATGAAATAGGAGAGCAAAATGAAAACGGAGAACGACTATTGGATATGTGAAAACTGAACAACCTAGTCATTACAAGAACAATATTTCCTCATAAATCAAGACACAACTCATGGATCTCACCCGATGGAAAGACGGAAAACCAAAATGATCATGTGCTTACTGTATAGGGGGAAAATAACTCGCGGTGTTAATATTCGCTATATTGACGGTGATAATAAATCCGTGAATTCAAGAAACAGTGAATAATTTTTCAATCATCTCCATGTTTTATTTGGAAATTTGAGAATAGACTACGATAGGTTTAAATACATGTACCACAGTGCATGGTCATTTTAGTAATTACGAGAAGTACTTGTCATTAAATTATTTTAATTAGCACGCTTTACATTATTTCAAGTCAACAGATAATTACCTGTATTTGTTAAAAAGCTTTTTAATAGCCAACGCTACATGTTTCATCAATCAAAACATGTGGGCCATGAGTTTTGATTACCCTTGCGTAACTAATGTTACCACGCACTGTGTATGCATTACCTGCATTATCATGCATGCATATTATAGTTTTTATCGACATTTTGATTTTAAGAAATCATTGAAATAACTATCAAACTTTCTGAAGATTTGGAAGGATATTATTTCGTCGACCTATACATTAACACATTTATTACTGTCCAGTGGTTTAATTTTCGCCGCGTTGTTTTGAAGATCTTGGGGTGTAAGTGCACTCACTGTAATAGCATACAGAAAAGTCATTCAAATGACTTATAGTCAAGGACTTTTGATAACTGCACCTGTTTTAATCAATCGTTAATTATTTAGTAAGTTTAACTATTTTATATAAACCTAACCTGTTTTCGTGAAATTAAGATATAAGAATGATGAATTTGTTTACATCAATACATGTAGCTATGAGATGGATTAAACGGATATAGACAAGGGAGGTAACTTCTATAACATAAGAATTCCGCGAATTCAAGAAACCGCGATCGTGTCCGATGAGAGAAAACCGTGAAAATTACAACCAGTGAAATTAATCCCCTATACAGTATTTCGAAACAACACAAAAATCCATCTTAGATACAAGGGCGATGAGAGGAGCCGATGTAAGCAGTGATCATGAACTGATAAGGAGTAAGATCAGAATAAAATTGAAGGAACAAAAGCAAAATGCAGACATACACAGAAAGAAATATGATGTTACAAAACTACAACAGCTCGAGAAAAGGAGAGCATTCACACTGGAGCTGAAAAACAGATTCCAAGTGCCTGAAGGATTGGAAAATGTTGAAGACATCTGGAAAATATGATAAAAGGTTACAACGAGACAGCAGACAGCATACTTGGAGTAAAAGAAAAGGGACAAAAACCATGGATAAGCAGGGACTCTTGGAAGGTGGTAGAAGAGAGGAAGCAGCTAAAACTCCAACTTGTCAACAGCAGATCAGAAAGGTTAAAAAGAACTTAAGAAATAAATATTCAATTAAAGACAGAGAGGTAAAATGCAGTTTGAGGAATGACGCGACAAAGTGGACAGAAGACATGATTACAGAAGCAGAGAGAGCAGCAAGTAATGGGGTGAGTAAGTATATGAGATAACTAGAGTGCTAAGCAATGAGAAGAAAGGCAAGACAACAGCAATCAAGGATAAAGAGGGAAAGATCTGAAGCAGTCAAGATGAAAGAAAGAAAAGGTAGAAAGAGCGCTTTCAAGAAATATTAAACCGCCCAAAGACTGAACATCCATTAGAAGTATTAGATGAGATGGATACAAGTCTCATACGGAAAGAGAAAATTGTCAAGGCTATAAAGAAACTGAAGAATGGAAAAGCTGGATAAGTAGATGGGATAAAAGCTGAAATGTTAAATGCAGACACAGAGACAACAGCAAGATATTTGGAAAAACTATTTTCAACAATCTGGAGACAAGAAACTATACCATCGGTTTGAATTAAAGGCCCGATAGTGAAGATCCCAAAGAAAGGTGATAGATCGGTATGCGATAATTATAGAGGTATAACACTTTTGTCTGTACCAAGCAAAGTATTCTCAAGAATAGTAATACAAAGAATCCAAGATGGAGTGGTAAAACAGCTGCGTGAAGAACAAGCTGGTTTTAGAAGAGGGAGGAGTACAACAGAGTAACTATTCACAATCCGTAACATCATAGAGTGCACTGATTAGAATTCAACATTGTTTGTAAATCATGTTGACTTCGAAAAGGTATTTGATTCCATTCACAGAGAGAATCTTTAGTCCATTATGAAGTTTTATGGCATCTCAGATAAACTGGTCAGAATGGTGAAACTCTTATATGAATCATTCCAATGTGCAGTCTTAGAAGATGGGGAAGAAACGGACTGGTTCTGGGTAACAACAGGAGTGAAACAGGGTTGCACAATGTCTGGATTCCTATTTCTGTTGGTTATAGATTACGTAATGAAAAGAACTACAGAAAGAGAACCAACAGGAATAAGGTGGAATTTCACAACAAAACTCGAAGACCTAGACTTCGCAGATGATCTTGCCTTACTTTCCTCAAAATTTCAAGACATACAGCAAAAGACACAAAGACTCAATGAAATTGCTAGTCAAGCTGGCCTCAGAATAAACACTGAGAAAACTAAAGTGATGAAGCTCAACACTGACATAAAAGAGGCAGTCAAGATTGATGGGCAAAACCTAAAGGATGTTGAAACATTTACTTACCTTGGAGGTGTAATAACAACAAAGGGAGGAGCTGACGAGGACATTACCAACAGACTGGGAAAAGCTAAGTCTCAATTTGGAAGGCTCAGAAAAATCTGGAGCTCATAAAAATTTTCCATCCAAACAAAAGTAAAGTTATTTAACAGCTTAGTCCTGAGAGAGACCTAAGGAAAATTGACACTTTCCAGAATAGATGCCTTGGAAAGATCCCGCGAGTAAGATGGCCTGAGAAAGTGTCAAATAAGAACTCCATCATAAAACAAAGACAGCTAGAGCATGTGAAATAATAACCCTCAGAAAGTGGAATCGGATTGGCCATGTACTGAGGATGGATAACACCAGGATATGTACCACTGCATTAACATGGCATCCAGAAGGAAAGAGAAAAGTAGGCAGGCCAAAAACAACTTGGAGGAGTACCACGGAGCACGATAGGCTACAGCTAGGATGGAAAAACTAGGCGTCAGCGAGGACAGCAGCCAAAGACAGATGCAGGCGGAGGCAGTGTATCGGAGCCTTATGAGCCAGCGGGCACGAAGAGGACAGGTATTGAGTCTACTTATTTTAAATTATGGGTTATTAAGTTAAATTGAAAATCCTTTCTTCTTTAAATTCAGTGTACATTAACCAATCAATAACTTTTGGTATAATCAAACATTGCTCACATCCTACTGATCCTAGTTTTAATCTTTCCCACCATAAAAAAGAAAGTAACCATTATTTACACAATCAATTGTCGACAGATATTTCCCGATCATGACAAGGAGCAGACGGCGGGTAAGATGGTTGACAGGGGAAGCCGACGACGCACCTGATCCCCCCTCTGATGTTTAAGAAGTCTGTAAATGCTCTGAGCTGAATTGTTTAATGAACTTTTAAGCTTGAGTACTTCATTATCTCCAGAGATTTCATTGAGATAAAGAACAAGCCCAGACGCCCATTGAAACAATACAACGACGGGAACAGAGCAAACGCAGGCTCTAAAATCAACAGAGACGGGATAAATAAGCATCCCTTGGTCGACCGGTCACATACGTCGTGTGCTCCTGGTCATGTTTGGGTCAACGGAAGAGACCATTGAAAAGTCGTTATGTAAATAATGGTCTAACAATTGGTATGAAAGCGTTAGTCAGCATTCGACTTATTAACAGATTGTATTTGGTGACAGGGTCATTGTGTCGACCATAGAGTTTTTGAAATGATGTTTCATCAACTTGCCTGCCAATAACCCACCTCGTTTTAGAAATTTTCTATACGTAGAGCATATACTCTTGTGTATCGAATCAACTGAGAGATGTAATCCCCTTATGCATTAGTGATGAAGGTATGTTGCTGCATAATTGAGGGAGTCGCCCGCGTGGTGTAGTGGTTATAGAGCTTCTGCTCTAGAGTCGTGAAGTAAGGAGTAAATCATTACGTCGCGGGTTCTAATCCCACTGTGGGACATGGAGACAGGTCCTTCGGATGAGACCGTATAAACCGAAGTTCCGTGTCGCAGTAAGTGCTGGCCTGCTCAATGGCCCTGAGTGTCGAGTATAGGACAGAATTCGCAGCTCTCCGCCGGCAAGTGGTGGCGTTTCCACATGAGAGAAAAATTCTCGAGAGGGACATTAAAATATACAATCAATCAATCATAATTAATGGAAGTAAAACTCACAACTTTAAACGAGACTGTTGATATCCTTGATTGATCAACTTATTTGTCAACAAATCAGCTTTACATATTTTCTTTAGAAGTGGACAGACTTTCGCCTACATCCACATAGGCAAAGGCCTGAAGAGAATACATCTATACTTAGAATACTGAAGTAAAAGTGAAGCTTAAAATTGGCTACGTTTACTTCTTATATATTTTTGCATGAAAATTCAAAGTACGCATTTGAATTTCAAAGCCACATAACAACTGTATAAAAGTTCATAAACGAATAATTTTTTGCGATTAACTCACCGTCAAAAGTTGTGTTTGGATTGCTCTTTTCCGATTTCATCTTCTTCAAATATGCATCGATGAAGTCTCTGAGATTGTTTTCATCAAAACTTTCTTTGTGATCAATGACAATTTTATAGAGGTGTTCTTCCACCAAATCAACATTCTTCAATACCTTCTTAAGCTTTAATGGATCACCCGGCACATACCTCAAAAATGGAAGAATGCTTCCTAGAATCATTATGTTTCCGTTGCTTACGTTTTCATTGATTAATTTGATGAGCAACGTAAAGTATTTGTCGCTATGTTCAAATCTTTCACCAAAGTTAATAGAACACATGATATTTGAGACACACACAGTTATCAACGCTTGCATATCGAATGGTTGTTCATTTTTTGACTGAACTTCTTGGACAAAAACATCCACTTCCTCCAATATTTTCGATTCCAAGCTTCGTTTTCCAAATCCAAACTCTCGGAGAGCATTTAGACTGAATGTTCTATGTTCCTTCCAAAATTCACCCGAGGTAAGGATGATACCTATATGGAAAATGATAATACTTACAAATTGTTTAATGTTATAAATAATTCTTTGAACATTTTTTCGTATGTTACTCTACCCATTTACAATCACAATATTATTTCATATGTAAAGTGATATATGTATATATATATATTTACAATCAAAATGATGGGTTTTTTTCTATGCTTATAAACAAATAAACGACTACATATAGTGTATTATCAATGAGCACACCTGCATTTCAAAATACATGTTCCTATCAAAAAGGGGGAAAATCAAAACTAAAAACATGAGTAATCAAAGATTACGAAGCTCACCTCGACGAATGTTATCAGTTTAGGTAATGCAAATCTCACATCATATTTTCTTAAAATTAAGTATTTATTCTGACAACAATATTCGAGCAAGTTCTATTTAAATAGGTTTTAAAATTCATTGGGGATTGACCTGTTCAAAAAACTTGAACCTCGTCACTCATTTGGAAAATGTAGGTCAGATCCAGCATCCGAAGCAAATTTCGATTGTCCATCCTTAGATGCATCATCCATGCAAGTTTGGTCCGGTTAGGGCTTATAGTTACTTGGGAATAACAGTCACTATTCTGGTAATTGTAGGTCAGATCCAGCATCCGAAGCAAGTCTGGTAGTGTCTATCCCTAGATGCATCGTCCATGCAAGTTTGGACTAGGTAGGGCTTATAGTTACTTGGGAATGGACCTGCACCAAAAACTTTAACCTGGTCACCCATCTGGTAAATGTAGGTCACATCCAGCATCCAAGCATCTCTAGTATCATCCATGCAAGTTTGGTCCATTGAAGCAAGTATAGTTACTTGGGAATGGACCTGCTCCAAAAACTTTAACCTGGTCACTCATCTGGAAAATGTAGCTCACATCCAGCATCTAGTAGTGTCTATTCCTAGATGCATCATCCATGCAAGTTTGGTCCAGGTAGGGCTTATAGTTACTTGGGAATGGACCTGCTTCAAAAACTTTGATATGGTCACTCATCTGGAAAATGTAGATCACATCCAGCATCCGAAGCAAGTTTGGTAGTGTCCATCCCTAGATGCATCATCCAAGCAAGTTTGGTCTAGGTAGGGCTTAGAGTTACATGGGAAGAGACCTGCTCCTAAAACTTTAACCGGGACGCCGACGCCGAGGGTATAGCATAAGCTCATCTCGACTTCGTCGAGGTGAGTGAGCTAAAAAGTATTAAATTAAAGAAACAAACAAACAAACAATTAAAGATGAAAACGATAATTTGTGCAGAGCATTAAGATACTAGTAATCATGTAAAATCTCACTAAAGTTAAGACCACAAAGCCACATATATAGAGGAAGGAATTATAATATCTACACATAATTAAAATAAAATTAATTTTTAGGTGCCTGCAAATTCACTTTACACGATATATCATAAAATTATAAATTTTGACCCTAACAAGCTCCGGTATATGAAACTATATAAATAGCTATTAAGCATATAAAAATGTACCTTTATATTTCATTATTTCTTTAACTGCAAAAAGATCTGGCCTTTCGGAAACGACGTCCCCATGCTTAATAAAAATATCCCGAATGGTGTCCAGTCCGTTTACAACAACTAATGTTTTGGTTCCTGTAATCAAGCTGAAAACGTCTCCATACTTCTTTCTGTATGACATGTAATTCTCTAAAACAGCATCAGGAGAAAGAGAGAGTATATTTCCCAGGAAAGGAATCGTGGGTGGACCCGGGGGTAAGGAGGAGTCTCGAGAGGTTTTCCTCCACCACACGTACAAAATAATAACCACAGAGGCAAGAAAAACAGTCCACAAATCTACCATGATTATTTTACGCTCAACGAGTGTGACACGCAATGGTGACCTGTTTTTTTTTTCAACTTTCAACTTTTATTAAAATGTAGGGCATATACAATTGCTTTCAATCTTATCTGCTTATCTTGCAACATTGTCTAGACTGTACTAAAGGGTTTTACGAAAGTTCATTCGATCCACATTTCTCTTTCATTTTTGAAAAGAAATACAATGAGATGATATTTAAAAATTGTGATACCGTATAATCCCTATTAACCGCCCCAGGCGCTTAGAAAAATGCAAAAAGGGGGCTGTTATTTTGGTATTCACTTTATGATATTTCATGTCAAATTTTATCTTCAAGAAATCTTTTTGAAAAAATAAATAAATACAAGGAACCACTAAATTAATGTCTAACTTTACTTAAAGTGAAGATAGTCTACCCAAATTATGCTAAATTATTCATTTTCCACTGAGAAATAGGATAATAGACACGTCTCACTTTCACTTTCTTCAATTTTTTGATACAACTCTTCTTGATTTTAATCACTATACAGGGGGCCCTATTTTCCTGACAATGGAAAAAGATCTAAGGGGGCGCTGTTGCAATCACTATTGAAATAACGACCACCATTGAAATAATTATATCATTAGTGGTTGAGAGTGCATTTCAATAGCAAACATAGTTAGTAACCACTATTGAAATACGACCAGTATTGAAATAATTATATCAATAGTGGTTAAGAGTGCATTTCAATAGCAAACATAGTTAGTAACCACTATTGAAATACAACCACTATTGAAATAATTATATCAATAGTGGTTAAGAGTGTATTTCAATAACAAACATACGTAATAACCACTATTGAAATACAACTACTATTGAAAAAAATATTTCAATAGTGGGTGAGATTCATTTCAATAACAAACATAGGTTGCAACCACTATTGAAATAATGTTCACTTTTGAAATAAAGATTTCAATATGGATTAAATTATGGTTTTAGTTTTGAAGTATTATCAGCAACTATCAAAATAATTATTTAAATCACTTTTGAAATTATTTCAATAAATATCTAAATCTTAATTTAAGGACAGATAGTACAAACAAAATATGGATATTTTTGGTCAGATTTCATTGAAAATGATGCAAATAATAAAATTCTAGAATATAAAGAAATTGTAAACCTTTGATGTTCAAAATTCTGCCTTACTAAAACCATCCTTATTAATTTATACACTTTAATTATTAATTTATATATTTTTAACTCCAAATCCAATTTTTGTGAAATTTTGGATAAAAAATTAAAAAATTTTCTTTCAATACTGGTCGTATTTCAATAGCGGTTGAAACCTATGGTTATCATATTGAAATGCACTCTTTCCACTATCAAATAATTATTTCAATAGTGCTCGTATTTCAATAGTGGTTGAAACCAATGGTTATTATATTGAAATGCACTCTCACCACCATTGAAATAATCATTTCAATAGTAGTCGTATTTCAATAGTGGTTACTATCTATGTTTGTTATTGAAATGCACTCTCAACCACTATTGATATAATTATTTCAATAGTGGTCGTATTTCAGTAGTGGTTATTACTTATGTTTGTTATTGAAATGAATCTCACCAACTATTGAAATAATTTTTTCAATAGTGGTCGTATTTCAGTAGTGGTTATCACCTTTGTTTGTTATTGAAATACACTCTTAACCACTATTGATATAACTATTTCAATAGTGGTTGTATTTCAATGGTGGTTACTAATTATGTTTGCTACTGAAATGCACTCTCAACCACTATTGATATAATTATTTCAATAGTGGTCGTATTCCAATAGTGGTTACTTACTATGTTTGCTATTGATATGCACTCTCAACCACTATTGATATAATTATTTCAATAGTGGTCGTATTTCAATAGTGGTTACTAACTATGTTTGCTATTGAAATGCACTCTCAACCACTATTGATATAATTATTTCAATACTGGTCGTATTTCAATAGTGGTTGCAACAGTCCATTCTTGCCTATGATTAGATTTTAACCGTATTCTGGTGAATCGAAAAGGGGTAAGCTGATATTAAAACAGATTATGTCAGAGCAGAAAAATATTTGTTGCATATATTAAATTCACGCGTTAATAAATCCTTTCAAATACTGTCGAAAATTTATCAAGTCAGTGAAGAATTTCAATATGATACACCTACATGTATTCAATTGAAAAGTGATTATTACCTTACTTACACCTAAGGTCATCGATTTGTATGATGCAAGATGAGCTGTGAAGAAAGAAAAGTAAATAATTCTATATTTTCATTATCGGCCGCAGCAGCGGCCGATCTATTTGTGGTTGTGTTAGAGAGTGCACATTATTTTTGCATTAGTTCAGTAAAATAATTTTTAAAAGATAACGTGTAAAAAATCAAGACCAAAATATTTTAAAAACTTGCTCTAAAGTAAGTATTACTTACTGTTATTATGTTTCAACTTCATTATCATTTCTCGTCAGATGACTGACAATTTATGGTTATAAAAAAATTTACAATAGGTACTCCCCTGCCTGGGAGTATGTAAGACATGAAAGGAAATCGTCATGATTTTCCGGATAATGATGACGTTGTAAAAGTGCATGGTTAATAAAAATTGAAAAGTTGTTCAACTAAAAAGTGTTTTGAATATGCAACAGCTGCGAGTGACACAAGGATAATGTTTTCTACATTTTGCACCGCGCCTTGCAACATAGCCAACTCTGCAGAAACCATTGACATTATCACGTGACAAAGATCCAGGGTATTATTATTATTATTAGCATGTGGTTCATCTTGAGAGGCCTACATCTTTATTTTGATGACAATAAATTCTTATCATTAGTCATTGAATTTATTACATCGATGAATCAATTTGATGGAAAAAAGCACTATAAATTTCTATTTATTTTAATTTTTTAAATTAATTATTTCGTTTTGAAGGCAGTCTGAAATAAAAATGATCAATATTTCAGCTTTGAATATCGTGTGCTTTCCTAGCATATGTGCTTTTTAAATTGTTAAAGTACTTTTTCAAAATGCAAATTTTGTTTGCGGCCGATTTGATGCTTTGCATCAATTTTACTTGTCAGAAATGACCAGCTTTTCTGTCATTTGGGTGCTTTAAGGATTTCCATCCCCAATAGGACCAGATGTTCTCCCCTTAAATATCCATAAATCACATACTTTGATATTAAATTAAAACATTTTATAGCAGAAAAGGATTGCCGCAAGAAAGTTTTAAAAAAAATCACTAATCATTCTTTGTACTGTACCTTGACTTGCGCCAACACTCATAGCTTTTAAGCTCACCTGAGCTGAAGGTTCAAGTGATCTTTTCTGATCACATTTTGTCCTGTGTCCGTCTGTCCATTGTTCTGTAAACTTTCCACATTTTCGACTTCTTTTTAAGAACCACTGGGCCAATTTCATCTAGATTTGCCACAAGGTATCCTTGGGTAAAGGGGATTCAAGTTTATTTTTTCAAATGAAGGACCATAACCTTCTTCCAAGGGGAGATGATTTCAAATAAGTGAAAAATTAATGGCATCTTTTAAAGATCTTCTGAAGAACCAATGTGCAGGAAAGATGAAACACATGGAATCATCCTAAGGTAGTGTAGATTCAAGTTTCTTCAAATCATGACCCCAGGGGTAGGGTGGGCCCACAACGAATGATAAGTTTAACATAGAAATATAAAGGAAGAATTTGTAGAAATCTTCTCAACAGCAGAGCTATAATTAGTCATATTTTTATGGAAGCACAATGGATGATCAAAGTTTTACATTAATTCTAAAGAATGTATGTGTAAAAACCTAAAAAAAAAAAACTTTCTTTTCAAGAAGGGTAGGGTGGGGCCACAATAAATGATCAAAGTTTATATAGAAATACAAAGGAAAAACTTGTAGAAATCTTCTCAAGTGCAGCAAAGCCATAGTTAGTAATATTTTTATGGATTCCAAAGCATCATGGACGATCAGTATTTTTCCTAGCCATAGTGCTTAGGTGAGCTTAGGAGAGCTTTGTGACCCATGGACCTCTTGTTAAGAGAACCATTTGCAATTGCATATTTGTACATGGCACATCTCCCATGTACATGTTCAGTAGTATTTCTAGTGAAATTTAATACAGAACCATTTTATGCTTGTCTCATTGTGTTCCATCACTTGTAACCAGAAAATTCAAGGGGATTTTTCCAGATTTAAACTTCATCAATGTGGAGTCAAACTCTTCAATCTGTGGCCTAAAACTCTTGTTTGGATCATAAATTTAGTACACCCAGAGTATAACAGAAAATGTGTTCACATCATAGCTTCTTTATAAAACAGCAAATATCACAGACACATAAACAAAGCAAGTAAACAACTTTAAAATCAATCATTTCAAACAAACATATATTAATTTATGGAGAGTTAAAAATTGTCAAAGTCACAGATGACATTTCCCACAGAATACCTAGTATGTCCTGCATACCACATACATGTAAATATTAAATAACTGTACCATGTCTTATATGCAGGTTGGTATATGGTGACAATTATGCACTTTACAGAATATTAAATTAGAGACTTTATGTCCTGAAGTGTTATGTTTGTCCAAAATTTGTGTTAAAAAGATCCTCATCATCAATATCCTCATCCGACATTTGTTCATTTTCTGCATTCCTGGCCAGCATGTAGTTATCCATGTCTATAGATCGACAGTTGAAAATGGCATAACGTAGCTTCTCTGCCAGCATTTCTCTGCTTGGATAATTTGGTAGGCGAAGTTGAAAGAAACAGGTCTGAGATGTTGGTAAACAATTGGCACCCTAAAAAGAAAGAACAAATAATTTGTATCCTGACTTTTATAACAGAAATGTTGCACTACATTATGATTCTCTTGGTTTCTCTTTGCAGGGATATTTTAAAATGATATGCAAAATAAGTTTTCAAAACTGCTGAAATGAAACAATGCTACATTCTTTTCCTACTTAAGATCCAATCCTATCAATCTACACTTACCCTGTCCGAGTTCATGATCTGGAACCTCTGTGAGATATCAGAAGGGTTGGCTGGTAGGCGGGTCCGTCCAGAGACAAATCTAAGAAACTGTATTCTCTCCTCATTACTGAATGCCTCCAGGACTTCCCAAAACCAGCACACCACTTCATTCTTCTCATCAATTCCACGATACCTAAAGCACAACAAAAGTGATGCTGTATGAAATTAGAACACAAAATGGCAGAAGATCACCCAAGTGACTCAGGTGACCTGAAATTCAATGCATATTTCATGAAGATGTAATAATCTATATTGTACAAAGAATAAATAAGCGTAACAAGGGCGTTGGTTTATAAAATAATATTAAATTTTTGTTTGTTTTTTTTTTAAATAGTAATGGCAAAATCAATATATGTATGTTTCCTGATGCAAAGTCCTTGTGCATAAAAATCTATTGAAACTGGATTAACAGGAGATGTAAAACCTGTATGTCCCCCTCCATTTATTCTTATGATAAATCTGTATACCAAAATTTATTTCAATATGTGCAACCTCTGTGAAGAAAATGAAGGAAACTGATGGTTGACTGACTGACCGACAGACAGCAGCAGAGCAATATGCCCTCCCTTCTTTGAAAGGGGGGCATAAAAACATGCTTTAATTCCTACCTGACTACTTTCCTGAGAACCTCTACAGACATTTCCTCCTAATGTAATACATGCTGAGAACCTCTACAGACATTTGATCCTAATGTAATACATGTTGAGAACATCTACAGACATTGCCTCCTTGTGTAATCCTACCTGACCACTTTCCTGAGAACATCTACTGACATTTCCTACTTGTGTAATCCTACCTGACCACTTTCCTGAGAACATCTACTGAAATTTCCTACTTGTGCAATCCTACCTGACCACTTTCCTGAGAACATCTACTGACATTTCCTACTTGTGTAATCCTACCTGACCACTTTCCTGAGAACATCTACTGACATTTCCTACTTGTGCAATCCTACCTGACCACTTTCCTGAGAACATCTACTGACATTTCCTACTTGTGTAATCCTACCTGACCACTTTCCTGAGAACATCTACAGACATTGCCTCCTTGTGTAATCCTACCTGACCACTTTCCTGAGAACATCTACTGACATTTCCTACTTGTGTAATCCTACCTGACCACTTTCCTGAGAACATCTACTGACATTTCCTACTTGTGCAATCCTACCTGACCACTTTCCTGAGAACATCTACTGACATTTCCTACTTGTGTAATCCTACCTGACCACTTTCCTGAGAACATCTACTGACATTTCCTACTTGTGTAATCCTACCTGACCACTTTCCTGAGAACATCTACTGACATTTCCTACTTGTGCAATCCTACCTGACCACTTTCCTGAGAACATCTACTGACATTTCCTACTTGTGTAATCCTACCTGACCACTTTCCTGAGAACATCTACTGACATTTCCTACTTGTGCAATCCTACCTGACCACTTTCCTGAGAACATCTACTGACATTGCCTACTTGTGTAATCCTACCTGACCACTTTCCTGAGAACATCTACAGACATTTCCTCCATCCCACAGACAAGCTGTTCCAGATTCTGTGGGGTCAGTAAGGTCAAAAGGGGAACAGGAATTATCCAGGACAAACCTTCCCTTACTGAGGCAGCCTAAAATAAATTTGGAAAATTATCAAACATATACCTGGTATGTAAGCATATTAATCATTTAGAAATTCTTACTTTATTTGAAAAGGTTAGAAATTTGGTCTTTCTTTTATGCTTGTTCTATTATGTATCCCATATCCCCTTCCCATTATAATGAGAAGGGTTTATATAGGTTTATTAACAGCCAACAGATAAATCTAATTACAGACTGTAACTTGTTGACATCTCACCTGTCGGTTCATTTCCTGGAGCCTGTAGTTCAGCACTGCCTCCACATACTCCCTCCTATTGTTGAAGTTCAGCTGTAATGCCCCTCCCCCAGGGATAACAGGGACCAGTCTGCCATCAGCACTCTGACCCTCAAAACAGTCCAGAGGGATAAACTGCAAATTACATTCAGATACTAAGATGGAAATGTTTCTTACATTACTGTATACACATGTAAGAGTTATATAATGGCCTGTTACAGAATGCTTACTCAATACATCAAACAAGAATTAATTAGAGGAAAAAATATGTATTCCCTCTAATGCCTACAACTGGTGATTTAACAGTAGGACATAATTTTTCCCAACAGTTATGAATAGGAAAATATATTTATCACCAGTTAACCCATCTAAAAAAAAAAAGAATCCTGAGTACTATAATTCATCCCTTATCCCTTTGGAATGAGTGGCAACAAATTCAACCACATGCCCAAATAACCAAAAAAAAAACGACCCTCCCACCAACATCCTTTAGTTTTAGTAACAATTGACACACTACCTCATGGAAGTTGGTTTCATTCACTCCACTTTCATGAATATCCAGAATACCTCTCAAGCTTTGGATATAAATATGATCAGTCTGCAAAAACAAAGGTTGAACATTTTAAATAAATATTTCACTGAAATGAAATCATTAAAATATCAATACTGCAGTTACAGTCAAAATTTTAATACTATAAAATCTTGCCACAGAATTCAATTCTTCAACAATACAATCCAGCTTTCTCACAGAGTAGAATGTGACCCCTTTAATAACTCCTCATACCTCCTCAAGGTCCTCCAGTCTCAGTGGTATTCCTACCAGGAGTTTCCACACACTGGGGGCTAGATGTAAGTCCAGGGGCTTCTTAGTTCTGATGGCCACCCCGAACAGAATCCCCAGGAACTTAAACATCGCAAGATCATCTTCTCCACAGCGGGCTGGGTTCAACAAAAATCTGCAATCACAATTTCAGAAAGTAATAACTGGCATTTTCTGGATTAATAAAAGGGACATGTCACAGCAACTCTAGCAAATTTTTAGCCAACAACCTAAACAAAATATCATCCATTTTACATTCTTACCTATCTCTGTTATTTCCAGACTCGTTTCTGGCATTGGGTGTTGGAATGAAGTATGGCACAATTCCTGTTTCCAATTCCTAAAGACAAAAAATGTACATTTTACCCTCTCATGAAATATTCTCTATTATTACAAATTATATTTGTATGCAAAATTTTAATCACTAAAAGACAAATTAGCAAGAAAACTTTTGATTAAAGCATTTTTGCAGGGCTACATATCACTACTTCAGATGCATGACACAATTTTGTTTATATTAAAAAAGCTGGCAATTTCAGTTACCATTCTACAGTGCAGTTACCTGACACATTTCTGTGATGGTATCATCAAACACTCCTCCTGCATCATCTGCCCCCTCCCCTATCAGTTTGACTTTCCAGGCCCGTGCTGGTAACCTCAGGTCCTCTGCCCTCAGTTTAATCACCTGCTGTCCTATCTGTGTAAAAACTGGCTTACACTTCTTACCCCTGGAATAATGGTTGTATGGTTAAGTGATGATGCATGTTTTATACTCTAAACTTACGTATTTTCTGAATGGAATTCTGGTGAAGTTAAGCTATGAAAAGTTAAGGCAAAATTAATGACTTACATGTACAAAAAACAGATGGCAACAATCACTTACCGGTAAGTGACCGACAAACTTTCATGTACACAATTATAAAAGCCCTGATACAAATTAATTAAATTTTTTCAGCATAAGCACCTACCTGAATATTTTACTCTCACTTGAACACCATTGGGCATAAGTAATCATTGACTCAATTTTCAAAGTCCAGTACAATCACGTATGTTCCACATTACTTATACATAGTAAATACGAAATTCTATCTTTGTGTACCTTGTTGACAGTCTTTTCACTGTGATAGGAGGCCCATAGTTCTTTCCCTGCACCATGGTTTTTCCTATAGCCCTGACCATGGGTAGTGAGAACACTCGGGGGGACAATAAAGGTCTTAATCTTCCATCCACAATACCAGACATGCCTGCTGCATAGTGAGGCAAATCATTCTGGAAAAAAAAATCATTCATTGGTTCTCCTACACAGTCACAATGATAAACATATGATATATTGTTAGAAATGTAATTTTGATGAACAAAAATATATTTTACTTTAAATTAATATTTTAACTACCAGGGTACCTATTTTATGTCACTTCACATGAAACTAAATGTCATTCAATGAAATTCAATTAATAAAAACATTAATCAAACTATTACAAACTAATGTACAGAAAAATAAGTTTGTAGTCAAAGTAAGTACATAATTGATTACAGTGAAAACAGTATGTTTCAACAAGGACCCAGTATTGCAAAAGAACAATTTATTTGTAATAACTAATATAACAAATTTACCATGGAATGTATTGTATTTTACCTTCTGTATTGTTGTAAGTGGAAGCAGTCTCCACGAGGTGTAGATGAGATCTGAGAAGTGATGGAGCAGCTTGAGACGACTCTGTATATCCTCCATAGGACACTCCCTCAGGGTACTACAGCTGGCAGGGACTTTACTGGGGGTCCCCAGCTGTAGGGGGACAGGCACACCAGGAATTCTCTGTGGAGGACAGGGGGTGGTCCAGGCAGCACTATGTGTCCTACCTGCCGATATCTACAAATAGTAAACAGGGAAAAGTATGTAAACTATCGTGATATGCCAGCCTATGAATTTTCTTTTCTCAGGACATATAATAATGTACATCAAGCAAATATACACAAAATAATGTCAAGTACCTAAAACTGAGAAGGAACTACAAGATAATTATATTATATATAATAATATACTGTAAATCACTTTTTATTCGCGAGAACTTTATTTTTGCGTAATTACGTGAGACAGTGTGCTCGCGAAAATTTAATTCTTGCGTATAATAGTATTCCTTAAGATTATTTAGAGCAATAACCACAATTCGCGAAAATTTTGTCTCGCTAATCAAGAGTCAATGACTATCTCACGAAAATAAGGTGTCGCGAAAATTTAGTGATCTACAGTAATATAATGAATTTTGTATAAACCTGTCTGATATTTTTTCCTGTCAGACATGGCACTAGCTGAGGCTCCCTCACAGGAGAGTTTGTATGTCCTAAGCCGAGTTGCCCCTCGCTGTTGTTTCCCCACCCCCAAACATCACCCTCACTGGTCAGAACAAGAGTGTGTTCCGCCCCACAAACTACATCCTCTATAAAGTAGCCTGAAAGGGAGGTAACCTCCTGTGGCTGACAATTACTTCCCCCTCTTGTGTCAGGTTGCCCTATCAGTCTCTCTGCAATAGGCAAACAATGGACAAAATTACTCTTACATTAACCTAATTTTATGATAAAACTTTTGTCACAGCATTTTAAAATAAGATAAAGCTCTCATACCTTGTCCCCATGTGAAGACTTTTCCATATTTTGTAAGAGCTACAGAGAATTGTGTTCCGCAGGCGACCTTTTTAATTACGTGTCCCTGGAGAGCTTTGATCTTAGTCGGTAAATGTTTTCCAACAGTGTTTCCCTGTCCCAGCTTCCCAAAGTCTCCATCTCCAAATGCCCACACATTTGTTCCATCTGATGATACACACAAGGTGTGGTTTAAACCACAGGCAACCTATGTGTAATTTTTTGAAAAATAAATATCATTTTAGACGTCATCCTTCAGTAATTAAAATACAGTAGACACACATTTTACAGTGTGGGATTAGACAAAGTTTTGTTCAGGTTCACAAGTAATCACAAAGTTTTATATAATAAGAACTAAAAACATATTTCTTTTTCGTTATTTCATGTATAACTACATGTATAAAGTAACCTACATATCCAATCTGGTGAGATTCTAGGGCCACAACTCTGGTGGGAACTTTTTTGTTGGTGGTTGTACCCAGACCCAGTCTTCCATAGTCTCCATTCCCAAAGGTAAACAGCTTGCCATCAGATGTAACTACAGCACTATGCTTGAATCCGCAAGATAACTGCAAACCCAGAAACAAGCACATGCAAACTAGAACTGTCCAAACGGGACAAAATACCCCCCGCTGGGTTTTTCAGAAGTAAGTTTTTCCATAATAAAGATATGTATCACACATGAATTATGAAATTTTTCTTCCAGTGACCTTAAACTTCCCCAAATGACCTTGGGTCAAGGTCAAGACATACCCTTGGGTCATGGGCAATCTTTGTGTGAAATGAGAACCTACCAAGTTTATCCATAAGAAAGATATGGACCAGACACAAATCATGAAATTTTTCTTCCAGTGACCTTGAAGTTCCCCAAAGGACCTTGGGTCAAGGTCATGACACACTCTTGGGTCATGGGCAATCTTTGTGTGAAATGAGAACCTATCAAGTTTATCCACAAGAAAGATATGGACCGGACACAAAATATCAAATTTTTCTTCCAGTGACCTTGAACTTCCCCAAATGACCTTGGGCCAAGGTCATGACACACCCTAACATTATGGGCAATCTTTGTGTGAAATGAGAACCTACCAAATTTATCCATAAAAAAGATATGGACTGGACACAAATTATGAAATTTTTCTTCCAGTGACCTTGAACTTCCCCAAATGACCTGGGTCAAGGTCATGACACACCCTTAGGTCAAGGGCAATCTTTGTGTGAAATGATAACCTACCAAATTTATCCATAAGAAAAATATGTACTGGACACAAATTATGAAATTTTTCTTCCAGTGACCTTGAAGTTCCCCAAATGACCTTGGGTCAAGATCATGACAAACCCTTGGGTCATGGGCAATCTTTGCATGGAATGAGAACCTACGAAGTTTATCCATAAAAAAGATGTGGACTGGACACAAATTATGAAATTTTTCTTCCAGTGACCTTGAACTTCCCCAAATGACCTTGGGTCAAGGTCATGACACACCCTTGGATCAAGGGAAATCTTTGTGTGAAATGAGAACCTACCAAGTTTATCCATAATAAAGATATGGACCGGACACGAATTATGAAATTTTTCTTCCAGTGACCTTGAAGTTCCCCAAAGACCTTGCGTCAAGGTCATGACAAACCCTTAGGTCATGGGCAATCTTTGTGTGGAGTAGTAGATTCTAATGTCCCTCCGTAAGAAAGATATGGACCGGACACGTTTGCACAGACAGACGGACAGCTAGACGGACAAGGTGATTCCTATATACCCCCCCAAACTTTGTTTGCGGGGGGTATAATAATCTGAAGTAAGCATCATTATGTTCTTAAAATGAATGATTTGATTGATGGAATAAGTACAGTACATTCTGTTTGAATTACCTGAACGACCTCCTCCCCCTGGAGGGCCTCAATCTGCCTGGGTCTCCTCTGTCTATCACTGTTGCCATGTCCCAGTTTACCATAGTCACCATCCCCCCAGGAAAACACCTCCCCACTCTCTGTCACAGCTAAAGCATGGCCATCTGACCCTACTGAGGTGGCTAACTGTGTCACCACAAAACCTGGAAGATAGGATTTGTAGAGGGAACCTTGTCATGCTTCATGAAATTTATGCACAACTTAAAGTTTCCTGTGAATCTCTGATTCAAGTAAGGCATTAAAGTACAAGAAAAGAAATCTGCTCCAAAAACATTAACCTTGGATGCAGAGACTGATAGTATTACAGAAACTCTAATGACTTTGTTGTGGTGAGCTAAACATTCAATCACTGTCAACATCTTTCTGATAACAGGCCTTTAAGATTAAATTGTTGTATATAGGAATGCTAAGCATAAACAAAACCAAGTAAAATTTTATAAAATGTAATGAGAAAGTCCTCTACCTTGAATGGAGGATATGGCCGTTAGTGAGTGAAGATCATCAGAATTACCCTGACCCAGTCGACCGTAGCTACCCTCTCCACAGGCCATTACTATCCCATTGTTCTGTACTACAAAGGTACAGTTCTGTCCACATATAATCTGAAACAAATCAGAACTGAATGTAAGACCAGATGTTACTTTGTATACCATGATAAATAGTTTTTGTGTAATACGATTAATTATTCTGAAATTAATTTTAAAAGAATGTCATCTTAATTTCAAAATGTTAGAAGTGCATTAAAATTTACAATACACTTTTCTCACATGTACATGTATAAGACCCACAAAAATACAGAATAACACATACCTGTTGTGCACAGGAGAAGGACTGGACCTTGACAGGAACAAAGGCCCCTCTCCCTCCCTCAGACATCTGTCCATTTCTACCACTCCCCCACAGGAAGGCCTCACATTTCCCCCCTATCAGCCAGTCCTCCGGTTTCTGCATGGCCCACGTCATTATCTGTACATCCATGTTCAGCTCCCATTTTGTGTTGTCCTAATAGAAACCATGCCTTATGAAGACTGGACATACACTTATATTCAAATAAAATTCAAAAGCTTATCTCTGTTCTGAAGTCTAACTTTAAAGATCTTAATACATGTACATTTAAAACAGGTATACATGTATTTGCAAAGTGAGGAATTTCAAAGTTGATTAAATTTTATACCAAAGACTGTGCATGACAGGAGCGTGTATCTTTATTGAGCATTCTGAAGGATTCTGGGAATGGCGTTCTATTGGAGAGAGCCTCGGCTGACTTGACAGCTGCTGAGAAGGACAATAACCACTGCCACTCTGGAATCACCAGGCCCTGGACTGAAAAAGAACATTACAGGTCAGCTTTATGTTAAATAAGAAGATAATAAAACAATACTGGAGCTTTTTACATTGAATTTCTCATATAATTGATGATACTCAAAAATTGCATGCAAGCATCATACAATCATCTTAAGTGATAACCTTACCATTGTCAGAACTGACATGATGGGGGGCACATGGTTCGTGACAAAGGGGTTTGTCCAGCTCTAGTCCTACTGCTAAAATAGCCAGATGCTGCATGTAAGAGCTGTGTACCAGCTGTTGGCCAGATACCACCTTAGGCTATTGAAATAAGGAAATAAATAATTACCAAGTCACAATTCTCCTTCTAAGAATCAAGAGGCCCTTGGACCACAATGAATCACAGTTATTTTCTGACAAAGGAATTAATGGTAACCAGCTGAAAGCACATATTTTGAATTTTTTTAGTAACAGTTTATTTACATTTTCTAATAAATATAGAGGGATAGCTGAAATAAACAAGCTAGCCTCTATTGAAGTCATGTACACAATACATTCATCTGTTTTACTATGCAGTGAGATCTCAGATGTCCAGTCTCAACTCTGATATCTTGACACATTGAATATCTCAACATTTTCTGATAGTCACGCCTATGTCAAAATAGCAAAGTTTACCAATCACTGGGCATCGAATCGACAATCCCCATTTACCTTTTCATACAGGTACTGGTCCTGGAGAAGAATGGGTAACTTCTGTATCAGACTGAGTAGAAAGGGAGCTTGATTTAATCCCCAGATTCCCTGCTGCTTCAGGGATTTTCTACATACAGACAATGCTCTGTTCTTCTCTAACAGGTCTGTAGTATAATGCAGAATAACTACATCCTAAACGAAATGAGTATCAAATTCATTAACATGGAACTGCAAGTGAATTCAGAGTTTGACACATACAGCACAAACCTCCTTGGCATAGACTATCACTTACTAATTTTAGAAATCAAACAATGAAATTCTGACATCTTTCCCTGAATGCTAACCTTAGTTTTGCTGAAGCAAGCTGCAAGTCCATGATCTGCAAACCAGCACAAGTCACTGACCATACCATTCTCCATATGAGTTTGTAGTACACTTCCATCCTTAAGATTTAAAGTGAAGATACATTTATCACAAACTGATCTACTTGGAAAATGTTTTTAAAAACAAACTGAGAAACTTGCTTATCATTATTTATTTTACTTATCTCATAAATTTTTGGGGGGGTCAAATTATAAGTGATGTTTCACAATTTTCTCACATCTCACATAAATAAACTTACACAGATAGACCAGACATTAAGCCAGCCTCTGTCACATCCTGAAGCCAGCATCAGTGCTGATGGACAGAACGCAAGAGAAGTCACTGTGCTAACATGACCCCGCATTGTTAAAAGTGGCTGAATGGACGTCTCAGAGTTACAAAATTCCTCTTCCTATGAAAAAATAAGCAATATATTATATATTTGAAAATTGAATAATTTATCACTTATACCCATAGAAACAAATGTTTAAAACATTCCTTTAAAAAAAATTTGAATGCCCTTTCCAATGCCCTTTCCTGACTAAACAATTCATCGGGAATTTCTCATTCATCAACAACTATCTTACTTTAAAAAAAAAAAATCATAAACAATCTTTCTCTACATACTACCCAAGTCTTGCAAAATGAATCAAAAGATGGCATGAAAACTTTAGAAATATAATGGCCTTACTGAGAAGAAATTATTTGAAGAACTCACTTGATTTACCGAATTTGTGTCAAAATCAAATGGTGATAAACTCGATTCACTTCCTGTGTACTGGTTCAACATCCAGACATAGACAACACCATCACCACAGCCACTGTAAGAGTATTACAAATACTGGTCATATTGGAAATAAGCAATAATATCAAACATTTTTATCCTTTGCTGTAAAATGTGACAAACATATCCCACCTTGCCATCATTAATTCCTTCTTGTCCCCCTTCCCTAAGGTGTGGCACCACTGAAGTACCGAGACTTCAGCCCTGTGCTGTAGTTTGAATGCCAGGTTTAACTCCTGCCTGCCTGTATAGATTTTTATGTTAGGTTCTCCATCAGCACAACAAGCCAACATGTGACCAGTGGGGTCCCACTTCATACAAATAATAGAACTCTATGAAGGAGGATAAAAGAAGTCATTATATTAAAATAACACTTTCGTATAGACAACAAATAAAATGTATATAAACCTCTGCACTTTAAAATTAAAATATAATAAAAACTAACTTTTTATACCCCAAAAGTGAAAAATAGTCAACACAGTATGAAATCCTTTTGAAATTATTTAAGAAAATTACTTTTAATAGAAATATTGGATCAACAAAAAAATAAGAGAGCAGGAAGAAAAGTTATTACATCAAAGGCTTTTGTCAATTGTGGTTCCTCAATTTCCAACTTTGTGCAAAGAGAAATCACCCCATCACTAAATGCTACAGCAAATGGCCTATCTTCATCAAACCATGCAATCTGTGTAACTGAAACTAAACAACACATGGTTTACTTATTCTGTACTCTGGATGTAGCCTTTCTAAAAAAAGGTTTTTATGCAGATAATTAACATATGGACTAGTCAATTTTATAACTTTTGATTCTATGGAGTATAACTCATTGATCAATTACTGGTATTCAACTCTAAATGTAATTTTTACACATACATTTATTCAAACAACACACCTAATGAACATAGGAACATTTTACACATAAATCATATTCATACAGTTCATACAGTTCTTACCATTTTCTCTGTAGCAATGATCTAACTCATGCCTCTTAAAGCTAGAGCTGTCAAACACATCAATGTAGGCCAGTGAGCCGTCCAGTCGACCAATCAGAAGGGTGTCAGTGGTCAGTCCCAGGCAGCCTCCCATCATTCCCTTGTGTTCTGGCCAAGTCATTACAGACACAAAATGAGGCTGGATATCCAGGTGACCTTTTCCACCTGATACAGGATAATGTAGGAAAATCAGAAAAAGAGTAACTAGCAGCAAATACAACAACATTTCAATACACCTAAAATATCTATAATCTAGGGATCTAAAAACAATTTAGATTTACTTTGCTCAATTAAAAAATCTATTTGATTAAACATATTTTTTTAACTTTAAAGGAAGTCTTATACATGTATCTTTTTAATACAAAAGAATGAAGTTACAAAGCTCTTGATACATATACATGCATGCACCATACAACATATTACTAACGGAATATAATCTTTTTGTTCTTATATCAAAATAGAAGAATTTTTTTTTCCTATTAAAAATAACTGACATACACATGTACACTGTACCATTGCTGGTTCCAGTAATTTTGTGCTTATGTGAAAAAGACAAACAGATATTGATATCATACCGCTTGTAGTCCAGACATTGACAGTATTGTCTATGGCCCCCGCGAGGTATTTCCCCGTGCTGCTCCAGCAGATACAGGTCAGAAGGTTCCCGTCCAGCTCCTCACAGTCCTCGTCCCCGCGGTTAAATATACAGGTCTGTTGTAGGAACTGGTGGGTTCTGTTGGGCAGACTCCACACCCGCAGTGTACCATCATAACCACTGTCAATAGAACATACTGTATTATAACACTGAATAACACACGCAGTGTACCATCATAACCACTGTCAATATAACATACTGTATTAACACACTGTATAACACTCACAGTGTACCATCATACCCACTTATTAATATAACATACTGTATTAACACACTGTATAACACTCACAGTGTACCATCATACTCACTGATTAATATAACATACTGTATTACAACACTGTATAACACACTCGCAATGTACCATCATACCCACTGATTCAATATAATAAACTGTATTACAACACTGCACATGGTGTACAGAAATATTCACAGTTATTGTCCTCATTCTGAGTCTGCCTAGAGCTATTTTATCAGAAAATTATTTGCATATAGGGTAAAACTTGTCAAATCTGGATACATGCATTCTAAAAATAATTTCACAGACAAAATAAACTTTAAGTATTTTTCAGTTAATTCAATTGTTTGAAATGTTGTGTAGTCCTGAATATTATTTAAACTGACAAATTTCTGTGGAATCGCTGTTGTCCAGAAAAAAAATAAGTTTTACAGTTTACTCGGTATGTAATTTTGATCAGATAAATCTACTCCTAATGAAGATAATTTCCAAAAAGAGCCAAACTAAAGAGAGCCTATTTCTCTGTATATAATTTTAAGGCTGATAATCATAGAACAAACCTGGTGGCTAAGAGATTTTTCTTGGTACTCCACACACAGTGGGCCAGTTTGTTTTGGTGGGCCTCTAGTTTGGACACTGGACAAGATGGCATGTCTCCACCCCAGTCCACTTGATTTACAATCTGTCCAGGCTGACCAGCAGATTGAGAGGACAAACACTGAAAACAAAACAAACTTGTAAATACACATTGTAAAATTTCTTATAAATATATTTAAACTTGTAATTATGTTTCCAATATCAATCAATGTTAAACTTATTCCACACAAAAAAGGGATGTGCTAATTGTGCAGCAATGCTTAATGTATATACAAATAGCTTCCTGTCGTATTGGAAATAGGCATTATTAAAACATCATAATTACCTGTATAAATTCTTTGACAGCCCAGTGCTTGTACACAGAGGATAACTTAGTGGACAGTACACAGGCTGCCAGTGCATTAATGAGATTTAGAGGTGAGTCCTCCCGAGTAGGGGAATCTGAGGATTCGGCAATTGATAGAGAGTCTGATTCTTGGGAATCTAAAAATAAAAGTTTTTAAAACATAATCTATAGCATCAGGTATCATATCTTTTTAACTCTAATTATACGAGGGTTGTCCGTAAAATCGTGGACAAGTTGTCTAGTGTAAAAAATAAACATCACTGCGTTCTGAAATTTTCACTATTATTTAGTACATATTTTAGTAATATGCACAGCAAATTTCAGATAAATATATGCATAAATAAACAAATTATGTGATTTTATGCCATGTATTGTATCACCTTACGGCGCATGGATTATAACGTCAAAGTGTCTAAAACAGTGTCACGTTTTATCTTTGCTGAAAATGAAGTTGGTTGAGTCCGACTTAAATTTAGGAATTTCATTGATACACATTCTTTAGTCTCCATAAACAGTCGAAGAACCAATTGGCACCCTCATGCGATCTTCTGAAGATTTATCAGTAAGTTACGGACAATATTCTCACCATCATTCATTAATAGAAAATCTTATATCGGCGGTCTACTGTGACAGCGTCTTTTGCTATTACATTAGGAGTTTGTCCGTATGTTTTGTACTCCCCAGGGACTCGATCACATAAGACTTCGCTAAGAAAACTCCTATTTCATTTGTATACTTAAGATATGGTGATATTTTTATAATCTTTTTTCTTCTATGGTCATTTCAAATCTCTAAAGGTGTCATTACAACATCAAATTAAAACGGAACTGCTCTCCGGTGCGCCGTAACGTCATAAAACGTCACCATTTTTCGTGTGTTGTGTTTACCACTTTCCCATTTCGAATGCTCGAGAAACTGCCAAAAATTAACCAAATGCCTTAAAATTTTTACAAAGACTACAAAATTGATTGTGGAATTGAATTAGGATAATTTTAATCCAAATCTTATGTATTTTAAACTTTTATTTTGAATTCAGACTTGTGTATTCTTTAATAAAACCTTGGTTTTTTGTCCGTGCGCCGTAGGACAATACCCCGTGCACATTCAAGCATAACAAAACCTTTATTTTTGCCTATATTTTATCAAAAAAATTATCATGCACTTAAATATGATAAATACATTTACTGAAATTTTCAGCTTAGTGCGCCCATTACTTTTCGAGAAAAACGTTTTGTCCAAGATTTTACGGGACAACCCTCATACATGTCAATTTGTGACATACGGGATAAATGGTTACACTGTCCCTGATCTTTATACATGTAAATGAACACGTACCTGAACTTGGGAACCACTGGGATATCCAGTTAGGACTGCTGACCCACTTATTACGAGTAAGGAGGGTGACTAGGGACTGTGTGACGGTCAGCATGGAGGACGGCTGGGAGGGGGTGGCATTCTTTGTCTTCTTTCTGACGTCTCCCTTGTTGCCCCCTGTTGCTGCCAACATTAGTTCCTACAATTGAAATCTACATGTATCTGCTCTGTCCAGCAATGTTCTTCACCAAATTAAAAAATAAAGATATGCGAAGTTATCTAGATACACTGAATCATGGATGTAAAAACACATTTTAGCTGTCCCTAGAGTTAATAAAGCATTGTTTGACTAATTTTGCTGTACTAAGTACAGAGAACATACTTGTACATGAACTTATTGATTATATGCTGAGTCAGTGCTTGACTTCATTGACCCGAATCTCTGCAACAGAAATATTTTTAGCTTCCATTCACTGCCTAGAATTACATGTATATAACCTTCATTTCCTCATTCTTTCTCTGTTACCACCTTAGTTTTCTCATTTTGTCTGTTATCACCGACCTGTGTACAGAGCTGGATAAGCTGTTGGAGAGAGGCAGGGCTATCCTGGACCAGGGTACCTATAGCAGTGGTCAGGTGACTCAAGCTCTCAGCCGAGTCTCTGGGCTGACAACTCACAGGATACAGAACCTTCCCTGTAGCACACAGACACATAAACTGGACAAGGGTCATGATATCAGACAGACCTATGTAATCCAGGGCTGAAGGCAGACTGCAATTTGGACCACTTAAAAACAAGAGAAGGAAATTAACGTATATATTTCCATCACTTAACATCCATTGTCTGGTATTTTTCTAACAATAAACTATTTTTACTCCTATTATACTAAAATCTAAATTCTGCTTAAGTCTCTCTTATCTTGGAAGTTTCAAATTTACAAAATCCATCAGCAACAAAAAAAAAATTACAAAACTTTACATACCTGGCTGCTAACACAGACAAAACTTTTGTCACCATGGATCTTGCTATCATGATCTGCATTGTGGAAGTGATTCGATAAAGAGCCATTTTTCTGTCCTCACTTGTTTTAATAAAGGATGCCTGCTCCCCTAGCGATTTGTTACGGCTATCTGGTCGGTTTCCTTTGGCAAATGATGCTGTAAAATACATGTGTATCAATTCAGTGACCAAGAAATTTATGCAGTCTTCCATAAAATAAACTCCCCAAAACAATGTAGCATTTCAGGAAAATACACACTGCCTGGCCTCCTGTGAAGAAATTCAAACTTACAGAGTGTCATCAAGACATCTCCTGACGATGTAGCAGATTTCAGGAGACCTGTACCAAGTGGGTCATTTTCTGAGAACTTGACTGGTTCAGGTACCGGCTTATGATCAGTGAGTCCTATCTTGGACATCAGAACTTCAGCTTTCTCTGTCACTGGCTTACTTTGAGAAGAATCAGAGAAAAGAGGCACTGGATCTGTGAGAAAATGCACAAAACAAACCAAATATTAATGATTTAAATTTAATGAAACCAATGATCAAAATTAATTGTCTCACATAAATCGTAATGGTACAAGTAATTTAGTACGGTTATTTCCTGCATATAATGAAATCAAAATAACTATAGTATAACTGTCCTACAAGAATGTACTTTGAATGAATCTTGAATTGTTATACCATTTATTCCATGATCTAGAATATCCAGTAGGTCCGGGGCCTTGACACTAGACCTGTGATCGGCCAAATCAGCTGAGTTCTGGAGGTTTTCCCTGTTCCCTCTGGCCTCCAGGTATTTCTCCCGACAGTCGGGACACATCAGGTAAAACGGGTGACCTGATCCACAACGACCCCCAAACCAACCATCCACGTAAATACCATTACTCCTGTAGCCATGCTGGGCACAACTTCCTGTAAATTAGATGGTGGCTTTAACTTTTTTCTACTGTTTACAATTTGCAGATGTAGAATTACTGTAAACGTATTACATTTGGCTGTGTATTCTTTTTAGCGCTTTTGGTGGAAAGAAACTTTTGCTAATACAACTACAATGTTAAAATGTCTTGCACTTATATAAATAATTAAGAATATGAAGAAATAAGTTAACTCAAATCAACGCTAACTTCCTTAAAAGTCGATTTCCACCAATTATCATACATGCTAATAATAAAACATTTACAGTATGTTGTTGCAAAAAATGTTTGTTTTTTAATAGCAAAAAAAAAATATATATATATATATAAATAAATTTTGAAGGACATTGTTTTTATTACATATTCCCTTAAACACTAGAATTTCTTTAATACAACGTCTTTTATTCCTGATATTTACCCATACATCCCGGGTGTTCAGTTCTCATGTGCCTGTTAAAATTGGCTGTCTCCTGCTGACAGAGTTCACAGGTCACGGTAGTCTGGTCTTCCAACTCTCGCCTCTATCAATGAAAAATGTTTACATGCTTTTGTTAGCATCTAAAGTAGATTGGGAAGCAAATATCCAACAACGTTAACCTAATTTGGAACTTACTCAAAGTAAATAACTATACATGCATATTCATGAACAATGTAAAACAAACACAACTAAAAAGTTTAATGGGACAGGCCTTGCAAGTTGCTTGTGTCAGACGGAGAAATGTAATACTTACAAAAATTTGAGATAACATCTGAAAACATATATATATATATAACTTGCTGGGACTAAGAAAATACTAAGAGATATCCAAGGATTCAAAACATTGAGGGAAAAAATTCATAAAACAATAAGTGGCTGGGATTTAGAAAATCTCTTTGACAAATCCATGATACATCGAGATATCAGTGTTTGAGCTGCCAAAGTTTAAGTGTTCAGTCATGTATAATTTATACTCGTATATTTATATACTAACCAAAGCATTAAACAAGTCCCAAGTGTCCCTATGTTCAGCATGTTCCACATTAAACAAATCCTCAATGCTGTCATCATTACAGATCTCATCCTGTAGCTCCAGTATGTTGTCATACAAATCAGCCAGAGAGTGGGGCCGCAGGAGACTATCACTGTATTCCTGCCCAGTACTAGTTACATTGTATAACTCAGATAGGGACAGCAAACCTTCCTCTCCAGTGGGCATAGGCATTTCAGATCTAGTGTCATCATCATCCTCATTGTCTACAATGAAACTTCTTGCTTTAAAATCACTACAAAATATAATTCAATTTTTACTCCTTTTTTATGACATGTATTGTACATGTACTTGATTCAGTTTTACCTAGATTGCCGATACTTCTGAGATTGATGTGCCTGGTCCTGGTGAGTGGTCTCTGTCTACGTAAGAATAGTGAACCAAAGTTCTCTGTATCATCGGTGGTGTCGTCAGCATTCCTATTGGTGGCCTCTTGACTGGATAATGGTCGCCTCCTCCTACATATAAAATTTTTGAATTATTTTGAAAGTCCAAGGAATTAATAAAAATACCAAGGAAGGAAAATGAGGCATGATAAATATCCCATTGCTGGTTTTGTTTCGTTAAGTTGTCAATTCCACAGCATACTTTTGCATTACATGTATGTAAAGTGATACTCTTTAAAAAAAGTCCAAAAAACACCAAATAATAAATTTACAAAATCCAAGGAAGATAACTATTGGGAGAGACCATGAGCTACATCTGTAAGTCCTCATCATAAGGACACATTCTAAAATATCCGCTCATTATATATTTTAGCACGGGACAAAAAAAGGTCTAGAAAACCATCTGACATAATGAATACACCTGTATAATGGTATTGGTGCACAAATGGACTGAAAGTTGTAAATATATATACCACAACTATTTCATGGCAGGGGCATCAAAACATATATATGCACTACTCTATTTAATAGTCTGCCATTATTATAACATGTAATATAAAGTATTTTAAAAAAAAGTTTTGCTGGAAAAATTAAAAAATCAAAACTTCTAAAGGCACTAACATTTCATGCAAGGCCCAAAAATAAACACCTATTTTTAAGTTTCACACCATATCCATATGAAAACTTATGTCATGGCTTTAAAAAAGATGTTACCTGAGTCCTCTTCTGTCCAGGGACTCCAGACTGCCCCGTCTGTTCATTTCACGAGACTTTGATGGAGCCGGATCAGCCGTGCTGTCTGGATTCTCCAACATCCACATAGCCAGGGTGTTTATACCACTGGCTGACACCTCCCTCCCATTTGTACCTGTCAAATTGTTATAAACAATGATTACTTTCATCAGGTTATCCTGGAGGGAACCTGAATCAAAATGATCTCTATGCATTTTGCAACATTCTATAAACAGTAAAACTCGTTTAGTACGAACACTGATGTAGCGCATTCACGAATATACCGAAGTTTTTCGGGGTCCCCAGCAAGTTTCTTAACATTTCTTTGTAAAATTGTATGGTTATGACAACTCTGATATAGCGAATATACGGATATAGCGAACTGTTTTTGAGTCCCGTAGATGTTAAAAATGATGAAATTTACATCTTTTATAACGACTTTTCAAAAATCTTAAAATTAGATATATTGAACTGACTTCATTTTTAGTAAGAATTTGCAAATGAAATTCAAAATCCTATGTAATAATTGCTTCCCTACCACACTCAGTAGTAATACTTGAAGGAAAACGTGCTTATTGCGAATTCGTCATATATACTTCTACGAATTTGTTATACGGATATAACGTATTACGGATACATCGAATTACATGTAAATTCACAGGTCTCCAAGACTTAGCTATAACTGAGTTTTACTGTACATAAACAATAACAGACAAAATTTGAAATTTTTCAAACCTGTTTCTCTGATAGCCTTCTTAATGGCCTGAATGGAGAACCCCATCTCTAACAGAGGAGCAGCAATGGGTGGGGGAGGAGGTGAAGGAGACCTGGCCCTAACAGGTGGGTGGGGTGGTTTCTTGGCTGCACTGCCAATCCTTCTGCACAATGTAGAGGGTAGGGTGGCTGAGGAGGAGTATCTGCGTGGTGCTGGTGGTGGTGGGGGCTCTGTCTCCACCTCCTCATTGGCAGGTGGTGAAACATAATCAGCTGGTGTACGAGGTGCAATGTTTCTCTGGTTCCTGGGAGATGAATTATTGACTCCTCCAGCCCTAAGGAAATAATCAATACAAAAATTAAAATCAACTCATTTTATCCTTGAATCAAGATTAAGAAATAAAAATATGTTCAATCTTTAACCATGGATGACTTGATCTAAATCATAATATCTAAGAAGATAATGTTATGTTACTACATATTACATGTATATAAGAAGATTATTTTCGTAATTTTCATTGGCTGAAAGAACGTCACGTGATATTCCTTTTTAGTGATGTCAACATGAAAGCGCGTCCGCGGAAAATGATATCACATGACACACCGTTCCATTCCACCAAAGTTACGTAGAACGTGATGTCATAATATAAGAAGCGTGATTTAACCATTGTGACGTAATGACAGCCGAGTCTGCTCAGTTAGGACTGTGTCAGTGCATTCACTTTGAGTGATTATTAGCTCACCTGAGCCGAAGGCTCAAGTGAGCTTTTCTGATCAAAATTTGTCCGTTGTCTGTCGTCGTCGTTGTCGTCGTCGTCGTCGTTGTCGTTGTTGTCGTTAACTTTTCACATTTTCATCTTCTTCTCAAAAACCACTGGGCCAATTTCAACCAAACTTGGCACAGAGTATCCTTGGGTGAAGGGGATTCAAGTTTGTTCAAATGAAGGGCCACGCCCTTTTCCAAGGGGAGATAATCATGAATTTGTTAAAAATTAATGGCATTTTTAAAAAATCTTCTTCTCCAGAACCGCTGGGCCAGGAAAGATGAAACTCATGTGGAAGCATCCTCAGGTAGTGTAGATTCAAGTTTGTTCAAATCATGACCCCCGGGGCAAGGGTGGGGCCAAAATGGCCGACCCTAGTTTTACATAGGAATATATAGGAAAAATCTTTAAAAATCTTCTTCTCCAGAACCACTGGGCCTGGAAAGATGAAACTCATGTGGAATCATCCTCAGGTAGTGTAGATTCAAGTTTGTTCAAATCATGACCCCCGGGGCAAGGGTGGGGCCAAAATGGCCGACCCAAGTTTTACATAGGAATATATAAGAAAAATCTTTAAAAATCTTCTTCTCCAGAACCACTAGGCCTGGAAAGATGAAACTCATGTGGAATCATTCTCAGGTAGTGTAGATTCAAGTTTGTTCAAATCATGACCCCCGGGGCAAGGGTGGGGCCAGAATGGCCGACCCAAGTTTTACATAGGAATATATAGGAAAAATCTTTAAAAATCTTCTTCTCCAGAACCACTAGGCCAGGAAAGATGAAACTCATGTGGAATCATCCTCAGGTAGTGTAGATTCAAGTTTGTTCAAATCATGACCCCCCGGGGCAAGAGTGGGGCCAAAATGGCCGACCCTAGTTTTACATAGGAATATATAGGAAAAATCTTTAAAAATCTTCTTCTCCAGAACCACTGGGCCTGGAAAGATGAAACTCACGTGGAATCATCCTCAGGTAGTGTAGATTCAAGTTTGTTCAAATCATGACCCCCGGGGCAAGGGTGGGGCCAAAATGGCCGACCCAAGTTTTACATAGGAATATATAAGAAAAATCTTTAAAAATCTTCTTCTCCAGAACCACTGGGCCAGGAAAGATGAAAAACATGTGGAATCATCCTCAGGTAGTGTAGATTCCAGTTTGTTCAAATCATACCCCCCGGAACAAGAGTGGGGCCAAAATGGCCGACCCAAGTTTTACATAGGGATATATAGGGAAACCTTTTAAAATCTTCTTTTCAAGTACTTCAAAGCTATGATTAGTGATATTTATATGGAATCATCCTCAGGTAGTGTAGATTCTAGTTTGTTCAAATGATGAACGCCTGGAGGGGGGGGGATAAATTCAAGCCCGATGTGCTCAGGTGAGCGCTGTGGCCCCTGGGCCTCTTGTATAATATAACTATTACGGACTTCGGTGAACGGTCAATATGTGGTTATAAGGACTCATGGCAATATTGATATTGACCTCAGACACTGAAAATGATAGCGACCTTGCAGGCTCGGTTGCTATCACTTTCTGTGTCTTCAGTCAATATCAATCTTGCCATGAGTCCTTATAACCACATATCGACCTACACTGAAGTCCATAATTGTATAATATTTACAAAAATGACTTACTGTATTATCTAAAAACATACAGCAATTCATATACCCAAGTGACACTTAAATCAATGTTAGAATTTTAATCTCTAACCCTTTGGTAGGCTCAGTTTTCAAGCATCCCTAAAAAGTACAAGATAATTGAGCTTGGATCTACATGAATGTGTACATGTACTAACACTTGCCCTCGTCTTAGGAACTGCAGGATAGAAGTCTGCTGCATGTTTGATCTGGAATCCTCCTGCGACATGTCAATCTCCTCCTCTGTAAGGTCGGGGGGCAGGTTGGGTATACTGGGGGGAGGGATGATAAAACTACCTAGATTTCCCTCCAGTCTTTTAAATGTGAATGGTGTTTCCCTTTGTTTCACTTCACGGGTAGGTTTGATGGTAGGCACTCCACCAGGATGAAGTTTTGCTATTAAAATCAAAATTGTAAATAATTTTTTAGGTGATGGAGGTTATTTTTCATTGTTTGGACCAAGCTGTTTGAAACATTCATGTACCTTTTAACTCTGGAATGCCAGCATTTTCCTCAGCACTCTTTAAAGTGAGCACCTGGTACAGTACAGCCTGGGCTCTCTCTAAATCTGCCACAGTAAACACCTTCACTAAGGAGGCATTACACAGGGAAATCTTCACCATCTTCTTCATCAGAGACCTCAGTCCACATTTAAAGTCTTCATCTCTTCTAACAACAGTGCCATCAACTAAAGCCTTACTGGAATCTGCCATCAAATCGGATTTTGGAACCAATAACATCTCTGTGAATTTGTTGCACTGAATTATTACATTAAGGGCTTTCAGAGCTGTTACTTGTATAAAGGATCTCTGCATTAGCTGAAAAGAAAGATCACATTATGATTAAACTATTATATTCCTTAAGTCAACACATTCAAAAAGTACAAGAGGTCCATGGGCCACATCGCTCACATGAGAAGCTTTGACCATGTGAATCTTAACCGATTTCCCCCTTGTAATACCTATTGTGACCACATCGTACCCCAAGGGTCTTAATTTGGACAATTCAAATTCCCTATTGTGGCCCCGCCCAACCCCGGGGGTCATGATTTGAACAATTTAGAATTTATACTACCCCAGGACGCTTCCACCTAAGTTTCAGCTTTTCTGGCCCCGTGGTTCTTGAGAAGAAGATTTTTCCTATATATTTCTATGTAAAACTTTGATTCCCCATTGTGGCCCCACCCAACCCCCCGGGGTGATAATTTGAACAATTTAGAATCTACACTACCCAAGGATGCTTCCACATAAGTTTCAGCTTTTCTGGCCAAGTGGTTCTTGAGAAGAAGATTTTTCCTATATATTTCTATGTAAAACTTTGATTCCCTGTTGTGGCCCCGCCCAACCCCCAGGGACAATCTAGAATCTACCCTACCCAAGGATGCTTCCACATCAGTTTCAGCTTTTCTGGCCCCGTGTTTCTTGAGAAGAAGATTTTTAAAGATTTTTTCCTATATATTTCTTTGTATATTTTGATTCCCTATTGTGGCCACGCCCAACCCCCGCGGGTCATGATTTGAACAATTTAGAATCTACACTACCCAAGGATGCTTCCACATAAGTTTCAGCTTTTCTGCTCCAGTGGTTCTTGAGAAAAAGATTTTTTAATGACCCCAAGCTATTTTTGTCTTTTTTAAATTATCTCCTTTTGTGAGAGGACCTGGTCCTTCATTTTAATAATTTAAATTCCCCTTCACCCAAGGATGCTTTGTACCAAGTTTGGTTAAAATTGGCCCAGTGGTTCTTAAGAAGAAGCCAAAAATGTGAAAAGTTTACAGACAGACAGACAAAATGTGATCAGAAAAGCTCACATGAGCCTTCAGCTCAGGTGAGCTAAAAATCTGTTTACATGATGTAGGCATATATGTAGTTACTGGGGCTCTTATTATTAGATGTGCTGAAACTTACTTGAAAGTCAGTGAGAGTCTGTTCCTCCTCCTGACTTTCCTCCTCTACATTTCCTGATTCAGCTCTACTGTCAACCTCTGGCCCAGACTGGGGGGAAGAAACAGGTCCATCCTCCAATGTGACGCCACTTAACTCAGGAGCTTCAAACAGACAAGTCTTTGGTTTGGTTATAAGATTAACATCAGACCCTGTAAGATCGGGAAATCTGGGAGAGGTCACAGAAGAAGTGCTGCTTGCTGTGTCTTCTGTACTGTCCAAATCAAAGGTCTCCAGCTGGACAAGAGGGGCCTTAATAACCTTCTTGTCAGCATTGTGATCCACTCCAATAACAGACGACTGCTCCTGTTCAAGAACTCGGGCAATATCCTCATCTAACTTCTTCATCAATGCATCAGTTTCTCTAGCATTCTCCAGATCAGTCTGTATCGCTGTTGGATTTTTGGAGTATAGATTTGTAAATGCTGGAGGGATGTCCTCTGTTAGACAGGCCAGATTCATCACAGATTCCAGATGTCCAGCTGTTAGACCACACAAACTGTTGGCTTGAAACGGTTCTGGTTCTATGGCCTCTATTTTGCTCAACAACACATCACTACAACATAACAATAAAATCAGAATGGTAAAGCAGTCTACTCAACTGTAATCTTTGATTCCAGTTTTCACTTTATTAAATGTTCACCATGAGCTACTGACCTGACTGTACTATCGCCATCATCCCAGTGAACTTTGACAGTGGCTGACCCCTCTCTAGACACACCCATTAGTGTTCCCTTCTTTGACGTCGTCTTGTGTCTACAGCTACCTCCTACCCTCAATCCTGGATCCAGGCCACCAATAAGAACCAAACTAGGCCAAACCTTATAGAGAAAAGCCACATTTACAAAAGTACAATCACAAAAAAAAGAAGAGCAATTTGACAAAATTGTTTTATCTAAAAACAATTGCCAGGGATATTCAGAAACCCTAAGAGTGGCTATCTACTAACCTGGGAACATAGCGTTTTAACAGTTTCTTCGTCAGTGAAGTCTACTATTTCATCTTTGTCTTCCTCTTCACTTTGACCCTCCTCTTTTTTCTCGTCATCCTTGTAAGATGATTTCTCTCCATCCTTATCAGACTTGTTTGATGCTGCATTCTGTGACTTGGCATCTTTTTCATTATTCTTTTTCTCTTTTGAGTGAAAACTCTGGGCAATATCTACAAATATTTTAAATTAAATTGATATCATAGCCATACATTTTATGAGATTGATCACAATGCCTCACTTCCAACAGAAAAGTTCGTAACAAATTTTAACGGCAGCATCTTGAATTAAATTCTTCCTTGAAAGTAGCAAGCACACAAAATCTTTACAAATGTTCGAAATACTACAAAAATAACAACTCTCATTTACCATCCAGCTTATGAGGTTTCTCCAGGTCCTTGATTTTCGTCAGTTGATCTACAATCTTCCTGTTAATGGTGGGTCCCCATGTTTCAGTTTTGTGTAGCCTCCTCATCATGCTGATGTTAGCCTCCATTATAGCTGATGTAACGGGGGCACAAACGGGGTCTCCTGGCAGTAACTCTTTGTTTCCCTCACAAATCTGCATGTCTGTCATCTTGACCTATATTAGTCCATAAATCAAACAATACTACAGATAGTTCAGGTGGACAATGTCACAGTCTTAAGTTTATTGTGTGTTAATTTACATCTTTTAGAGAAATATATAGAAACAAAGCCGATACTTTGAATAAACTACATGGTGATTTACTTTACCTTTTCTCCTGGTGTTCCACTATAGAACATTACACAAGGATAGAGTTCACCAGCATCAATGTCTTCAAATGCTATTCTAGGGTCCTACAAAAAAAATACAACTTCATGAGCACTAAATAAATGAAGTTGCTGTCAAGAATCTTCAGTCTTTTTGCTATAACTGCATGTTTAAACTAAAAAGTTAATGTGAATCTTTGTAAAATGAGCAACTGTGTATATACCTCTCCATTTTTTCCAAAGGACAGTGTCTTGGCATCCATGTCAAGAATGACAGTGATAAAGTCCCCTTGTGTGAATCCATTGAGGGCCATGGCCTGTTCCCCTCCATGATAGAGATTGCCACTGTAAGCCCTGTATAACCACATGTCTGTTGTGGTACGGTGAGTGTAGTCATGGATTGGCCACTTTGAAACACCCACACATGTACCCTCGTTGCCTTTATTTTCTTTCACTATTAGCACCTGTTAAGAATAATATTTGTAATATTCTCCACTGGAAGTACAAAGCAAGATTTCTTTACGGGCACTTAATTCTCTTTACCTTCCACTTGTAGCACCCTGACACCATGGCTGTGGACCCCAGTCCATAACCCTTCCCTGACGTAGAATGCACCAACACTTGTGGACTCTCTATTGTACAATTAAGACACTTGTCTGTATCAAATGTGGCATTCTGCATCATAATCTTAGTGTCCTCAGAGTCTGTTTCCTTGTCTACATTTAAATCAGTCCCAGCTGATAACTTCCACTGTAATCTACTCTTCTTTTCCTGTGCCTTTTGTAGTTCTAACTGCTGGGGAATTTTCCACATATTGTCTGACAAACACTGGAAGAGGTCCTCAACAACCTTTAAAATCAAGTTTATTTTCAATAGGCAATCTAATATACTCATAATTAAAACTAAATCATAAAAACAAACAACCTTAAAAATACACAAAACATCACTTATTGACCATGCTTTCAAAGATCAAGGATGAACAGGTTTTCATCCCTTTACATATAGCTGATTTGTACCTCCTGAATGTAATTTTGATCTGTATCCTTCCCACAGGAATTGAGGATCATTTCCAGTACACTGAAGGCAATCAATCTTGTCCTCATATTGCTAAGGATAATGCTAC